AATGTGTCTCTTAGCACATCTGGGTTCGTCAGAATAGCGTTGCCAAGTGAGACGTCGCACTGCATTGTCCAAGTTGTTGACCGTTTTCATACAAACAAACAAGACTTAGTATAACTTTGCGTTATTAGGAGGTGAAGGCCTCTGCTTTCTCTTAAATGGACACAGGGGTACTAAACTCCAACTATGGTGTCTATAATTATGGACTTACATGTATCTATATATGTCTAACCCCAAACTCTACTCCACACCCACTCAGCCCCTACTATTACATTTTTTTATGCAGAATTACTGTGGGTATTGTACTGTGAGCCATGAGTTGAAAAAAGAAATGTCTTACTAAAAAAACCTATATAAAGTTCGGATTACATTCACACAGATAACAGTTGTGTGAGCGCACAACGCACCAAAAACAGCGTGAGCACATCGTGCACACATGGTACGAACACCTGTGCGATTTAACAATCGTTTGCAAAAATGTGCGGTTGGGTACAATTGGTCAATCAATATTACGGAATGAAAAAATCCTGAAGGCTCGTATGGAATAAGGAACACTGTATGCATAAGTTTCTCGTTATATTAAAGCTGACAGTTTAAAAAGCTTTCAATTGAGATTAGGAAAAAAAAAAATCTGGTTTTGAGATCTTCCCCATCTCTTCCAACTAGAGTTTCCAAGGAAGTGCCGACATTTTAGTTTCCCTTGCTTGGTAACCAAACCAGAAACATTTTTTTTTATTATTTTTTTTATTTCAATTGAAAGCTTTTTAACTTGCAATGTCAGTTTTAATTAAGATTATGTTCAGTTTTACAACGCATGTTACACAATCTAAAAGTGGCAATTAGACTGTCAAGAATGAGTTTTTCTCCCAGGTAACAGAACAGATATATAACATTTTGGTGCATGACATGAGTTTTACCTGCCGCCTTGTGCCTGACATAAAGTGCCGATGTCTGATACCGTAGTACTGTTATGAAAACACAACTGGGCGTTAAGGTTTTGTTATTTGTATCCGTTTTGGTCTGCAAGCATTCGACTGAAATAATATGGCATTGATGTCGATTGTGAATGCCTATGAACACAATGCAATGCTTAAATAAGTAAACAGTTTAGAAGATTGCAGTGCTATTGCTCTGCCAGCATTGATGTGGTTTTAAACCCAACAGTTTTCTGACACTCCACTCACAATAGAGTAACGATCGGACGCAACATGTTTTCTAAATGCTCGGCAAATAAGCAGGTACCTTCTGATACCTGCCGTAAGACCATAATGTTTGCAGAATCTTTTTAACTCGATAGAGGTCGTGAATCTTGTATAACAATGCGGATACATGAGGTTTTGACGCAATCGATCACCAGCCGATGATACATTTCTGCAGCGAGCTAACATAATATAACTTATAGGTCCCCAACACATATATTTAGGACACTTGTGATGTTATATGTATTATGTCTCCATGGACCGGTATGATTCGATAGGATTAAAGGTTTCAGAAAAGAGGAAGATTTTATGGAAGGAACGGACCAACAGAAAGCGCTATCCTAGTTCATGTTTGTTAACCTTAGTTCATGTCGCTTAAATATAAATAATAAAACATACTACAGCGTCCTAATACATGAAAAGAAAATCAACGATACATCGTACACTTACAAGAAACATATATATAAGCATTCTTCCTCCAAATACAAGGAACGCAATTGCAAGGTGACAGTGTCCAAATATAAGGGAAATAAGATAAGGATATATATTACAAGGAACACAAATACAACGATAACTTATCCACATGCAAGAAAAGCAAATGCAGTGATTTAACGTCCGCATACGAGAAAAGCAAATACAAACATGCATTGTCCACATCGAAATGAAAGGGTTACAAGAATACAACGTCAACATACATTGTACAAGGAAAACAGATTCAAGGATACAGGGAAACTTCAAAAGTAAAGCATGCATATACGAAAAGACAGCACCAGTAACTTAAGGCAGCATGTAAAAACAAAAGTGCAGTGGCCGACTCAAACAAAAAGTACCGAAATGCACTAGGCTTAGCACGCCATTACTCTCCTGCTATATTGAAAGTCTACGACTGATCGAGGATTTTGGATGCTCGGCCTTGTTCCCATGTGATACAGGATGGGTTCAATGGGTGCGTATTTGCGAGGAACTCTCAGACTGGTTACATGGTTAAGCCAATCCTTCAGAACAGCAAACGTCAATAATTGGCAACAATTCTCCCGTTCTGGCTACCCGTGTGTAATGTAAACATTTCTTTCCCGTGTTGGAGGTACTCCTTTCCCCTTGTCCGACATAATCATGTCATATATTCTGACAACCATTTGTTTTAGATACCCCTGACGTCGCTCGGTCTGTGCATTTATGTCTGATTTGTTGACGTCACACGTTCTGTGTACCTGGGGCTAGCTTACTGACCTCACACCTTCTGTGTATACGTGTCTGATTTGTTGACGTCACATGTTCTGTGTACCTGTGGCTGACGTACTGACCTCACACCTTCTGTATATGCGTGTCTGACGTGCTATCATCACACTTTCTCTGTTCCTGTATTTGACGTGCTAACGTGACAGTTTCTATGTACATGTATCTGTTGCTGAAGTACTGGCTTCACACGTTATGTGTACTGACGTACAAAAGGCAAACATCTTACATTTGAACACAATTTTACTTTTATCTTTTTCATTACCGAGAAAATTAAAGATAAAATGCAAATAAACTTTATCTGTAGCGGAATTGATCGGAAGACTACCGGTCAATAAGATGCATGTGGCTTAGTTGGTTAGAGCGGCTGTCCAGAGAATGGAGCTCCGGTCTGGGGTTTTAGCGCTCCTGTTGCACATATTTATATTAACGATTTACACTTGGACACCTATACACGGTATATAACGATCGGGGGCATGTCCAACCGACATCTACTTTATATTAGGATATTCAACGGAACGTCTGGAATCACATATCATAACATCAAAGTTTTTACCGTCACATCACGTCAGAAGAGTGACGACAGAAGCCATTGGTAAACATACACAACTACAAATAAAAACATTTATATCGTATATTATATGGGAGAATTCAGACGAAGTTCAGTAATGTCCAGTTTGTAAATTGTCACTTTACACGATCTGAGAGGAAATCCAGACATTCTTGTGGAATCAATATGGCTGTATATCTCTTGTCTGCCTCACCTGAAAGTCTATTGGGCGTCGTTAAGCCTTTATAGACAAATGGTTTAATGGCGGACATTCGCTTTTGCTGCCGATAGAAGCCCGACACTGACGGCACCTGTCTTTGATATGTTACATTTAATCTCTGTATTGAATGTTCTATGGACCACTCCAACACTGCGGACAATTGTCTGCATAACACCATTATTTACGTTTCCCCTCAGACGGGTCCAACGCCCTGCTATAATGTAATTAGCAGCAGTGTTCCTGACCAGAGAACACGGGAAGCCGTGCTTATATGTATATTCGGCGTTTATTCTTATGGTAGTTTCAGTGAATTATGGACTGGCCTTTTTATATCACACCAAAAGCAAAATGTGAAATTTTCAAACCTTTTCGTTCTGAAATGTTATCTTTGGTGTATAGTTGTTCATTCCGTGGTAACCTGAAGCAAAAACAAGACGTCCTGAAATAATAAAAAAAAACCCCAGTGCAAACAAGGATTTTCAACGCCATGGCCGTGAACTTATATTAATAAGTCTGTTTTATCTGTTTTATAAATGATAGGGTAACATATTTACATATATTTGGTCTTTATATAAAGATAGACTTAATACGCTTCTGTATCATGGGGGAGTGATGGTAATGATATCAAAAGCTTATTATTAGAAACACCGAACATATTTTGTTTGTAACTTTAAGTAACTAATAAAACTGAAACAGTTTCTTCCACATTCATTGTTTTAATTGAATTTGCGCAAGTTGGCAACTTGTTCAGGAATGCACGACAGCGATATCAGTTCAGCTAGTGATTCTATAGGATCCCGCACCTATATGATCATCATAATACCATGATGCCGATAATGAAAGTCTTAACAACTGCAATCCTAGAGCTCATACATGGGATGTGTCGACCTCGAACCCGCTTCTATAAAATGGCTAAAGACGGTTTGAAAAGTCAACCTGAGACAGTTTGGCCTCGAACCTGCATCTACCAATGTTTATACGTATTTCATCTCAAAATTCGCAAATCTTAGACAATTCAACCTCGAATCATATCACACCGGAGACACAGATATAGAACAAGCTTCGTAAACATTTTTGAAGCTCTTGTCTGTCTCGAATACTCGAGAACCAAGAATGAGGAAGGGTGTGTCAATAAGTAGTTCTGGCAGTGTTGTAACACATCTAGTAGTAGACGATTGTGGCTGATACAAGAAGTTTTTTTTCTTAATGACCCGTTCCTTATTATTGAAACATGATGCAATTTAGGGATTTAGTTTTGATTTAGCGTTACCGTACTGTTTTTAACAGATATACTGTGTGGAAGAAATGAAATGAAGTATATCAAACAAGAAAGCATGTTTTTTTTTAACCAGTTTATTTCTAAGTGTAAAATTTGTTTGTTTATGATTAGAAATTAAAATAAAAAAATCGTCAATTCGTCAAATTAAAAAAGAACATCATGTGTTGGACATGAATGAAATGAATATTATTTAAATAATAATGTACATATTGTTTTTAATTATTTTTTAATACGTTCACACATGCTTATTTATCATCGACATCAACATACTCCTAATCAAAATTACACTTACAGACAGTTCTTTATTCAAAAGTATAAACATATTTTTGGGGATACACAATTTATTTTTTAACCAATCAGGATGTACTATTCAATATTGCGCAAACATGGGAAAACTCCATAAAATTAATATTTTCATGTATTTCTAGCAGTCCGACAAGGTTTGGTGTTTCGATGTTGACAGTTGGCAGTGAACGTGCTAACTTATAACTGTCTTTTTATTTATTTTTCCACCTGCAGATAAACGTCGGAAAAACACAGCCGTGGGATATATATTCAATGGACGTCTCCGTGGTCATCTTCGGACTGCTGGCCTCAGTTTTCCGGACAGCTGATTTCACAGGTAAAATTTTCATGGATCAGTAGAACTCACAATATATTGTAAACAGTGTTGTTTTAAGCTCTGTTGGAGACTTGGTCGAATCCGAAACCGAGACAGTGTGACGTTAGTGATGCTTCCTAGCAGTATCAGTTGTTTATTTGTGTTAAGAGATGTCAGAGAGTTATTATGATACATTTTCTGATACACCAAACATTAAACATGTTTCCCTCGAGATAGGTAGCCGAATGGGTTATTTTTACAAAATGATTTGTTTCAATCCTTTTTTAGGTCATGCTTTCATTTTTTATTTTTCTCTTTCTTTTCTCCTTCTTTCTTTCTATCTTTCTTTCCTCATGCTCTCTTTCAACTTCTTTAAATCGTTCTTCCTTTTTTTCTGCCTTTATTTCTCTTTCGTTATTTGGCCTTTTTATTTTTATGACAGCTGTAACAACTCATGATCAGTCTATATCGTATTCGTCTAGAGTTTAACAAACGTAGTGTCTGTTTACATTTTTTTGACGTGAGTGTTCTGTATATTGATATTATAATATCATAATAATATTGATTTAAAATGAATTATATAATGATAACAGGGGTTGAATTGAGTTTATAGACAGTGTTAACGTCACCAGGAGGAGTTGTTATGGGTTTTAGACATTCTTTACATTACCGGGAGAGGTTGTTATGGGTTTTAGACATTGTTAACGTCACTAGGAGGGGTTGTTATGGGTTTTAGACATTGTTTACATCACCAGCAAGGATTGTTATGGGTTTAAGACATTATTCACATGATCAGAAGGGGTTGTTATGGGTTTTAAACATTGTTTCCGTCACCAAGAGGGGTTGTTATGGGTTTTAGACATTCTTTACATTACCAGGAGAGGTTGTTATGGGTATTAGACATTGTTTACGTTACCAGGAGGGGTTTTATGGGTTTAAGACATTGTTAACGTCACCATGAGGGGTTGTTATGGGTTTTAGACATTCTTTACATTACCAGGAGAGGTTGATAGAGGTATAAGACATTTTGAATGCTGGCACCAGCATCGTACCACAGTGCAGTTAGTGTTCCTGCTGTTCTTGAATTCAAATAATTGCTTTTTCAATGATGGTTCGTTGTACGTAGGTCGTTGAGCTATCATATTATATTTTCCTTGATCGATATTTATTTTTGAAATATATTATTATATATTCAATACGTCATCCATGACCAAAGGCAATGCTCAGCACATCAGACTTGATATAATGTCTGCTAACATTTTATTGCTTTCAATTTTCCTTTTTATCTTTGGTTACATATACGAACATGTTAGTACTTAATACGACCGTGGCCTGTCAATATATCGTGCTGATATTTCGACAGAGGTTGGTGTAATTCACGTTTTGATCGAATTTTCATAGACATATACCGAAGTTGCATGTGACCTAGGAAAAGTTGTTCAGCCTATTAGTAGGGATCCCATCTCTCCGACATAACTCTCAAAGGCAAGAAATGTCTGACGTTTTGAAAATGCATTTTAAATATTTAATAGCCGTTATTCCTTACCCATAAGACTTCACCAAACATATCCTTGAAATGATGAAAGGATGAAATAACATTAGCATTACACATGGTAATAGCTAGTCTGTTATTGAAAATAGACCAGTTTCTTTATTAGATTTTTGAGTAACATTGATGGGAGTTTGTTTTCAAAAACGTGTTTAAATTTCAAAAACGTGTCTAAAACACATCACTGCAATTGTATTTAACCCGTAAAACCTCCAACATGTTATATTAGTTTAATCTACATATATATTCTACAGGAAGACATATTGATTTCCCTGCAGTATAAATGTAACAAAATAGCGTTCGTACCTATATGAATGTAAGAATCCTTGGTGTTTATTGAGGGAGTAATACATTTAGTATTATATACATGTTTATATATGTTGGTTAACTGGGGACCGAATAACTGTTTCGCATAGTTTAAATGTGTCCCCGTTCGAGCCATTTTTTTAGATGCTTCAGAGACGATCTCGGGATGCTTGATTTGTTGTTCGTTCCCTCAGCAGTGTACATGTCTTTTGCGATAACGCATCTACTCAATGAATCAAATTCTACACAATTATTATCGGCGTCCTACCACAAGACTACCGTGCCTCCTAATAAAGTAAGAAGTTCATCCCTATTAACCAAACCAAAGTGATTTATCAGCAGGACTTTGTTGGAACAGCGTATGTATCTACCTGGGAAAATACAAATGTGCATACTTATTTTGATCGAATCAAGTATGTTCCTCATTTCTGCTAAAGGACGGTGTTTCTCTTGGTACAGAACCGACACAGGAAAAAATATTGCAAACTTATTTAAAATATTATTTCTCAGAATGCAAATGTCTCACGGAATAAATAAGGCTGCCTGTTTCCATAGATTGCACAATGTTATAAGTCGCTTCTGCAGTAAAGGTTTTTCTGTAATTGTATTGACCCATGCTTATTCAAATGTCGACAAGGATGTATTACGAATATATACGTACACGTAGGTGATATGTTAGGAACATATGCTAATTATATATACACTTATGCTGGGAAATAGTAAACACTGAATAATAATGGCGCCTATTGAAACAAGAGTGTCTTGTCCGTCGATATATAACCATATATAGGTCAGATATCACCAGAGAGTACTGTTATTATCAATAACATTAGTGAATTCTCCTGTCTCTTTTGAATGTTAGCAGTTAGCTTTGACATCACAACGTTGTACTGTATTAAATTTTGTCCTTGTGTTATCCCGTTTAGATCAGAGTGGTTCATCAAGCAGTCAATTGGTATCTGTATCTGCCGTACCGATGTGGTATGAAAAGGTACGCCATGTAATATCATTGCTGTGTCCACTGAAAGGCCATCAAGTATATGGCGTGTTGTATTGTATAGCACGTTGCATCGTTTGCCAATGATGCGATTGACACAACGCATTGACCAACAGTATTCTTATTTCAATATTTAGGGGCGCGGTAGTCTAGCGGTATGAAGCCGGGCTCGTGACCGAAGGGTTGCGGGTTCAAGTCGCGCCACGGCACTGTGTTGAATCTTTGAACAAGATACTTTACTCCGCTTGTTCCAGTCTATTCAGCTGTAAATGAGGACGTGGTTAGTAGTTGCAGAATTGTTGAGTGTTAGCTGTAAGTGCCAAAATGGCAGCACCAGCTGTATGCTCCCCAGGGATTTGAGAAAGCATTTGGTTGATTGCAATGGTCCTATAACCACGGATAATAATGTGTGAACCGCTGGAAGACGACCCACAAACTAGGTGTTAATAAAGGGGTATACAAGGACCTCGAATTATGATTATTATCATTATTTTCATTTAATGGTTCCTAGCAACCAAGTTTATTTGCGAAGAACATCGATGCGGGATTTTGTTTGACAAAACATAATAACTGTAAGCATTGGTTGTTGATGTGTGTTAGATCTGGTGTTGAGTGATGTTTGATTGGTTCAATGAGACCTATGATTAGGTCATATGTTATATGAAGCCAACTAGCGTGGGTGATAATGTCAACTGTCCGTTAGCCTTCTGTCAGAGTGGTATCGATCTGGCTGTCTATTGTCATTGCTACAAATTGAAAAAGTGTCTACATGTATGTGTCATACTACACTCTCTGTTACATATTGTTTTGTCTTATTTTATCAGCTTGAGTATCTATCCATAAGATATTAAGGAATTGCATTTCTTTATCAATATATAATTTAATCTTGCTGGTAACAAGCATTTTGATTGTCTTGAAAAATTATGTTATCAAATTTTCTGATTCATCAGGGAAAATTGTGTATTAATTTAACCATTTTATTATTTAGTTATTTTTTTATTGTAACACATGCGGTTCTATGGCGATAGAATTTAACCAATTTGGTTTGTGATCCTGTGAATTCTTTTGAATGTTTTCTTAATGTTAAAATAGTCTTTTCGCTTATTTTTAAAACCTATTTGTCTCGTCATTTAAATGTCTCGTTTTAGCGTTTATTTCATAGCCTATATAAATAATGTGTGGTATAATGCATTTTAAATTAGATGCGAGACGTTCATGATGAAGTTGATTTGATGGTTGCCAAAATAATATTCTTTACTTATACTTTCACTTTCCAGCTTCGGATAGAAGACTTTCTCTATATACATGATCTTTATTTTGACGTGACGTTGTCAATAATTAAATTTCCACATTTTACTATAGCCTTTGAAACATCCAGTCACATCATCGTCAAATAAGTTAAATATATACCTATGTACATTCGTCACAACTATTGATCATACTACTGACCTAAATAATTATATTCAAAGATGAATCAATATATCAGCGTGGAAAAGAAATTTGTCATTTGTTTGCGCTTGCACACCAGGAGAAACCGTTAAAAGAGTATTGAAAACGAATGTTTCATTGACAAAAATAGTTAGTGCTGCATTGTTTACCTTAATGTCTTTCCGTTTCGCTTGTGATGTTGTTTTGCTTGTAGACTCTATTGTATGCTTTTTTTAATTCAATCTTGCATTCATGTTTTCAATTATATCCATGTTGTTGGAGTGACATTTTGTTTGTGATGTATACTAATCGTTGAGTATACAATACTTTATTTCTCATTATTTAGTGTAGGTAATTCCCGGTCGTATTGATCGCAGTGGACGCAGCTGTGTTGGTAAAGGTCGCTAGTTATTGTTGTATTAGTCTCGAGAATTGTGTAATACCTGGTGAATTATCTCCCCTGGAGACCCCACACTTCCGTCTATAACTTCAACTAGTCTTATACGCACTCTTTATCAATAAGAGGACGTGATGTGACGTCGTTGGTGATGAAAGGCGTCGTAAGAAATCGACAAATTTGTCCCTGATACCTAAATTAGCTGCCTTGCTCATTGGACAAAATTGATCTTGTAATTGTTTGTGTCCAAACGGGGGGATTACAACTGCCAATGCGCAGATGAGTATTTCTATCCCCATTTTTCGCTAGCTAACTTTCCAGTCAAGATTCAGCCTAGAGATAGATCTACTTTGGTATATTTACATTTTCCGTCCCAACAAAAAATCGTCCAAAGATACAACATGGTCTGCTAAGGTCTATAGAAAAGGTAATTAATGATTATTTAGATTTCAAGGAATATAAAAAGTATACATTACTTTAATTAATCAATCTATTAAATTGGTTTACTGGGTTGTAAGTGTGTTATGTATCCTTATTTACTCAATATTCCGTGATTGGCTTCCCGAAATGTAACAGAAATGTGACAATATTGTGTTATTTAATCAACATTAATGACATTCAATTGACTATTCAAGGAGTCATCACTGAATGTAAATTACCTTCATGTTCTGTAATCGAGTTGGCTATGATCAAGTAATGTTATTTTTCTGTCAGACTCATTTCCTATAAAAAAAAAAGTTTGTTCGGCAGTTTTTGGAAGGAAATTAGACGTCATGTCTCACTATGGTGGTGATTTCTTCACTGCCATTTAAGCTAATTACTACGACGGAAGCATATGTGTGGCAAAAAAGTGAGATTTTGGTTGCATGCCTATTTAACATTGCAGTTTGCTATCGATTGTTTTATGTATGTGATTCTATTGCACAACAGAAATTATCACAGAGGCAACAAAAGAGATTGTTTATAAACAACGCATGTGTTTTATATACTTTACATCGGGGATAGTATACGCTATTGCAAATCAGGACCGAAATCATCGTTTGATAATTTTTTGTTGAAGTATTATCGAAAAAGTAGGGTTGCCTTCATAATTATTTTGGTATCCTCAAAGTTCTGTAATTGGTCTTAAGCTATCCTGTATATACTGTTTCATATTGTCCGGGCAGTCACCCGACAGTTATGTTAAACACAGTATCTTAACTTTCAATTCCTCAGTAGTAACATCCCTGCTTGTGAGGTTTACACGTGACAGTTTCACTGCATAATTGCGTCTTTTTCTGTAAGAAATATACAGATATAGTAATGAAGCTTATTATTATACAGTGTCTCCAAAGTTTTCTTCTACAAGATTTAGATAGATGTTAAAGAAATTTGACTGTTGTAATTGTGGTGTGGATTTTTATTACATCTTGATTGACATAATACAACTTTGTATTTGATTGCAGAAAATGTGTTGAAATATATGCTTGTCTTTAAGGTTTGACTCCTGATTTAACTGGCGATGTCATGGTGTTTTTCCTTCTATTTTGATGTCTACTCAGTTCCTATTGTTGTTTCCAAGTTCAGATTTTGTGTTTATATGCTGACGCTATTGTATTTAAATCCCATTTCGATAATATGTAGTTTAACTCCATTCAGAACTGTTCATACCCATATTGCAGAATGCTGTCACGTATGTTACGCCAACGAAGTCCATAAGACAAACGGTGTACGTTTTTAGCACATGCATCCCTCTGATAGCTAACCTCTCGTTACGAAAATCAATGTGTGAAATACGTGTCATGCCGACGGCCTGCCGGGTAGGTTGTCGGTTTGTGATAATGATATAATATTGTTAATCTGGAGATTAAACTAATCAGTTTAAACGGAACTGCCTCTGCCGTATCCGTGTATCTCCCCACATCTGCTTGCGTGTTGACGAGGAGAACGTGACAAACGTTGTATTACCATATAGTATCCAACTGGGACCTCGGCAAACTTTAATACCGCTGCTTTATACGGATATGTCCTCAATAAAGAGAAACGGAATCTTTATTCTGGTTGAAATTAATTTCGTGAAACTAATTACAGGCGTTTGCTTTGCCTTTGTAGGAGCAGCAACGCAATTTTTTAACGGGAAATCAGATCAAATCTCTTTTACCGTCACTTTACAACAAAACAAAATTCTTAAAACTGGCTTGAAACGCGTTGTGCATGTACCAGGAACACTAACCTATGACAACAGTATTCCGTGATTTGTGACGCCTAGGGACACACTTCTCTCGTGAAGGTGATTACATAACTATAAATGACACCAGGGAAGAGACGCTGGTTATTTACAGACTGCAGTTGCCATAATCGTTTCCAACTAACACATTACAATGTTGAAAATTGCTAAGAACATTACAGTTTATGTAAACGATTCATTATTATGAATATCAATATTAATTTGCGCGTGACAATGTAGTCAAACAAAAATATTTGGGTTTCAAAAGTCATTTTACTTCAAGTTAAATTGTCAAACTCTCTAGGGCTTGAAATGCTGCGCGCTATACAAATATTTTCTTAAGTCGTTTTTCCTGTAATATGTCAAAGTCTACCGTTTATCAGCTTCCACTTAAGACAAAAACATGCATACAGTATGTCACTTCACAAGTTGACAGTAATGCATTAAACAAAATATTATTTCAAATAAACTGTAAAAAAAATGCCTCTTACAATGTAAGTGGTCATTGGACAAAATCCCATTTCCACTTTTCATATGCCACGACCTTGTCGTCACCAAGAAAAATCATTTTTGGGTTATTGGGACATCTCAGTTAAATATTGTTTACGATTATTTTGTCTTCTTTTTTGCTGGACAATATTATAATAATATCAATAATAATAGTCTTCATTTATACTTGATGACAAAGTTGAGTCAACGACTCGTCTAACATTTGGTCAGATAGTTATAAAATATACAATTATTTACAAAACATTGTTATTTGCTTGACCTTACCATGGAACTGGATGGAATACACGGTTTCCTGCTACTCATGTATGTCAGTCGCATCCCGGTGTCATTTCTCCATCGCCTGAACTTGTTTTCCTTGCGATAAAACGTTATACAAACATTCCGTACCTAAGTACACTGCAGTTAGCCCATAGGGCTGTACATCTGAAGACAATGTTTCTGTTTCTAGGAATAGAACCAACTGTTTTCCTTGCACTTGTTTCATTCACAAATGAAACAGTTCATAAACAATCAGTACTCAAATACTTCATAACAAATTCCGTATTGATGTCCTATATCATTGTCAAAACACTTTTGGTAAACAAAGATGAAGTTCTATCCCTCTAATGGAGAATCGCTTTTCTGCTGATTCACACGAAACTTCATTCAAGTACTAGGACTAAACAATACTTAATAGCATTTGAGTTTTAGGTACTTGAACCAAATTTGACCAGCGATGGGAGGATTTACATCAAAGTAACAAATTCGTCAGAAACGTTGGAACAGAAACATCGATTTTTTATAATTGATTTTTGTTGTCGTTTCAGACCCGTGTTCCATTCCTCTGACAGGATACGAGAGTTTTATCACAGATGTTCCCGAGGACACACTTATCGGTAGGTAACTTGTTATTTGTAATCTGTAATCTTCTTTGTTGCAGGGATAAACGTTAATCTCTGCACGGGATTCTGAATAAGTACATAGCTTTAACAGAGATCGCTGGTACAATGTGTAATAAAGCGAATAACCTTTTTCTTTGACACAAATCACAAGATTTTAGTATTATGGGCAAGGTAACACATATCCTCAACTCTAACACAAATCACAGGAATAAAGTGTAAGGTAATATGTACCCTTAAACTGTTGACCACTGGCAGGTTCCGTGTTGGGGAAACTTAGGGTATCTGGAAGGCCGGACGAGGTGGATCTAATCCAACAAACCAACGATTATCTCCTCCTGGATCAAGTCAGCCGTAACATAACCCTCCAGAAGGCGCTTGACACAGACCAAGGAACCAGCACTATCATTCTCAGGGTTGAATGTAGCATCAAAAATGAAATCGATTCTCCATCGGTAGGTCTGCTGACAAATTAACACGTAAATCTGGCATCCAAATAAATATTTTTGCCATTTCGTCATTTGTGATGCTGTCTTTATGTCGTAAGGATATTGTCAAACTGCAAACCAAAATCGAATTGCTTTCATTGGCTATTCTTTAGACAATATATACATGTATATTATGTGATGCCGTATTGTCCGGAGCTACAATCGCAGGTAGCAGGTAACTCTTTTCGATAAGATGTTTTAAAAGCACGCATCATACATGTATCTTTGGTTTCACAACGCATTAATTTCGTTTCATCTAGCCCCTGTAAAGCAAAGCAGCATTTAACACATTACTTGACCTTATTATCTTTGTCCAAGCAAGATCACATCCGCTTGCAATAATTCAGTTTAGGTTTTCTTATTTTTCTAAAAATGCTTTCTCGTAAATTATTTACACATTTACAAAACAGAGTTACTTACACATGTCCATTACAGAAAAAATACCCATTCTTAAGGCGACGAAATTGAACGAAAAGAATGCCTTAAAAAAATATCAATTAACAAGTGTACAAATCGGATAAATAGACTGAAATATCACCACATCCCAGAGGATAGACCTCTATGTACTATTATATATATAACAAAGATTTTAACATGTGTAGATGTCTGATTGGTCTATCGTGACAGAGTTGTGCCGAACTGACAAACTTTGACACTTTTCTGCAAAGATAAGTGCTTGTTCATGTACATGTACATGTATGTATATATATATATTTTTTAGTTTTTTAGTCGGTCGTTAATCTTATGTTTTCTTTATATATTTCTATATATCCTGCGCATTAACTAATGAGAGTTTAAAAATAGAAGCAAAATATCCTCATTTCGTACCAGACGGATCTATAAGCCATCTTCATTTTTTGTCTACGAGCGATCACGTGAATCGTAACGACAATATGATCTCGTATAGCTATATTGCTACGGCGGTTCTGCGTTAAAAATACATCGGACGTCCATTGAGTACTCAACGATCTCGTTGCTTTGTTCTGTCTATAATTGTTAGGTGTTGTCAGGTCATCATAACTATTATAGTTTAAAATGCAAAACATAAACACAAAAAAAACATGTCTTATTTTTGATGATGATGGCAATGATTGATTTGTTCAATATAATCAATTTCGCATCTTGACAACAAAAGTTCGAACTGTTTTATCATATTTGTAATGATGAATGCGTGATTTTCTAAAACGAACTAAAGGATGTTCATTACACATGTGCGTGTGTGGCTTTATTTAGCTTAATGCTATTGTTTACTAAATTGTTGTGGATGAGTTTTAGTTAGCGTTTAATTTGCAACTTTCAATTTCCGAATTATGAGTTGCTATAATACACGAGGAGAGTATACACATGAAAATCACGAAAGTATAACCGCCGCATAATAGTCCATTATACAGTATACGATATTGGTTTATGAAATATCATTACGCTAGATAAATCAAATTCATATGTTAAGGTAACTTCATTAATTCGTTTATTTATTTTATTACACTATCAATAAAAACATGTTTCGGTGTTTTATTTTGACGATGTTCAAAGTTCTGTATTTAACACTACAGATTCCCCTGATGGTAAGGGTTATTCTTGAAGATGTTAACGACAACCCGCCCGTTTTCCCACGTGCAAACTACGTCACCAATGTGACAGAAGTAAGTGAATCTACAACGTCATTGCTAAGGTGCATATTTTAACAAGTTTCTACAAGTATATCTCATTATATACATGTATGCATTGCTTATGAAAAATCTTCTTTTACAATAACCCATTTTTATAAAGAATAAATTACAAATAAATTATTATCTGCGTGTATAGGTTTAAAACTGTTATTGTAATATTTCCCTTTCCATCTGTATTCGGTCAAATTATCTGTCTTCGCATATTTCAGGACACAGCTCTTGGAACAATCATTTTCCGAGACGCCATCGCAACGGATGCGGACCAGAAAGGAGGCGGAAACGACCAGATATCTTATCGAATCCTCCCCGGCTCTTACTCGAGCTATTTCGACATCGAGTATCCCCTATATCCCGATATAAAACTCAGGAAACCACTCGATTTCGAGACTCTCAAACAGCTAACAGTGGATATCGAAGCACAGGTTTGTAAATGTACTCCCGTGTTAAGTGATATTATTACATATGGTGTAGGAAATGCTCGTCCCTATTGAGCAACGTGTTCCCTGATTATCTTGATACCCCTCGATGTCTTTACTTTTGGTTTGGTGCGTAATCATTTCCTGCTGTTTTCCTTTTAAGATAATTAAATTTTCGATACGTCATTGTGCGATAACGTCGAAGCTAGGTAAATTACTGCATAAGATAAATAATTATATGATAGTTTTTTCTCTGTTTCACAATTAATCTATAGAAATGAAAAAGCTTGATTGTTATTTCAAAATAAACTTGAACGCTTGGTAGTACAAGAAAATGTAACTGAACACTTGAGAAGTGACGTAATATTTATTTATTTATTTATATATCAATTTATGTTTTTAGTTTATTGTTGTTTATTTTCATTTCATTTTAAGCACTGTTAGTATTTTTTATAGCAAACCGATGGCGAATCACAAGATCACAAAACATGATGTATGTAGATGAACAATGGCATTTTCATATACACTTTCTAAGGTTTAGACAAAACTAATTTTTGCAAAGACATCAGGAACGAAAATTTAATCAAAAGCAGCAAAATACCGCAATGTAAGCCCTCCATTGTATATCGATTGGTATTGATAGCAAAATAATGGGTTTTTTTTGCTGCAGGATAATCCAGTTCGTGGACTCAGTATGAACAACAGTGCCACCTTAACAATAATTGTTATGGACACCGATGACCTAATTCCGACATTCACCTCCCAATACTATAATGGAGATGTGAATATCGATGCCACAAGGGTGAGTTTAAACAAGATTAATGACAAAATACTGTGTTAAAACGGGTAATTGTTGCGACCTTGAGTTTTTACGTTGTGCCAAACGAGTTGGTATTACTTTGACTCGAATTTGAGTTCAGAAAATGATATTTGAACTTGATAACTTTTGCTCAACAGTGCCGGAATAAAAGATGAAATGTAATGGCGAGGATTTGACACGGACTGTTCCATGAGGGTTCACCAAGTGGAACTATCTCCAACAATATTTGTTTTTCATATTCCATAAAAATTTAGAAAGCAATGTAGTGATTATGATTTTGTCACAAGCTACATTGTATTTTACTATAATTAGTTATTTGTCATCTAAGGGTTGCGTGGACTTTAGTAGAACGCCCTTACTTAACTCATTAGTGAATATCTTGCAAACTCAAGTACATCAACTGATTAAGGTTTGAATTTTGCATTTTCTTTCGGTTCAAATGAACGTCATAACACATCAAATGATGTATAACATGATTTAATGAATGGAAGTATATGTATGATCTGATTTTCCTCTGCCGCCCAAAATATGCGTCTTTTGCAAACAATTTCAGTTTTAATACCTTCATGATAATAAAATTGCACGTATGTCAATCCTTACGCATAACGAATGTTAAACAATAAACAGTGTACAAAGGTGTAGCATTTTAGAAAAGTGTTAATGGTTTTTCTTTGTTATTGTTGCTCCCGTGTGGAAAATAATCCGCTTTGGGTAATGTCGTGTTGATTGCTTACAGGTTTTTGATTACCGTCTGTGCTTCGTTAATGACAAAGATGTACCTCACACGATCTATAATTCAGGGTTCTATAGGGTCGTGTTATTCCATATCCACATTGTCATTTAGTCAGCTTGTATTGATAATTTTCCAGGGTACCGTGGTGCTTGTCAACCCGCCACTCAAAGCACGCGATCAGGACCAGCTCAACACTACAGTCATATATCAGATATACGGTAGGTGGCGCTCTTACACATTAAGCTCAAATAAAATAGAACAATCTAATTATATTGTATCATTTATAGATAATAAAAATGAAGATTGTCAGTTATATAATTTTCTGTACTTTTTCATCCTGATGTCGGTTTCTGCCTATCAAACCTCTTTTTCTTGACAGATCCCAGTTATCACTTCTTAATAAACGAGACTACAGGAACGATAACTGTTGACTCCAAGCTGGCCGGGACGACGTATTCTGCTCTCATCAAGGTAGCATATTTGACTTCCAACATCGAAGGTTTAGACTCGTCACAATTCATCAGGAGTGATTATTGTATTACTGTCCATATCGGATATTATGAAATTATGACTATATCATTATATATTAGACATTTAATGTTGTGTTCCTGTTTTTCAGGCGACCCAGATCGACAACCCATTAAGATATGGAGTTGCCCTAGTACAAATAAAAGTCGCCGGGTTGAACATAACATTGCCTAACGGCCCTTCTTTCCGTCAACGTTTGTACGAAACTACCATCGCGGAGAGCCAGCCACCAGGAACCACCATTATGACGGTACCAGTCACGGTTAAGAACCCTGTAAGTCAACGTGTGTATCGATTCTTAAAGTTAATGACGTAATGTTCTGATGCAAAATTTGGAAATGTGACAATGCTACTTATCCTGAGAATTGGTTTGATTTCATAGAATTCTTGACGCCTGGTATATACAAAAAAAGGTTCCCTCAAGCTTCGTTGTTGTATGCCCATTTTTTTCCTAGACAAAAAATCAGTACAATGATACTAGCACAAAAGACTTCTTTTTGAAGTATCGCATCAATATCTGGTACGAGAGATAAACAGTTCCAGCAAATGTAAAGCCATGTACAAAGGTTTAATTTAAAAGTTAAACATTTCGTTTACAGCCTAATCGTGGTATAACATCCTCATCCAAAGACCGACTTGGAAACTGTTTTCAAAATGCAGTTTTGCTTATTTTTCTGCTGACAGTCTAGACACATTAGCAATGCATGTATAAAGTAAAGTTTAACTTTTTCCAAATCGTCCATCGTTCATTTAAGTTCTTATATAGAAGATTTCATTCAGTTCAGCAAATGTGTGTATTGGAATGTATCTTTTGATAATCAAATAAATGCGTAATCGAATCTTCATTTTTATCAGGCTGGTGATTTGAGCTTCAACATATTGGAAAACATTTCTGAGTTTGCAGTAGACCAGAGGTAACATTCCTACAGTTTTTTTTTTTATCACAGTCATTATTGTCCGGTACACTATTGTTGAATAACAATTAATGTTATAGAAAGGTGTTTAAACAGGTTATAAAAAGTTATGTTATTTTATCTTTAAGGACGAAAGTTGTCTCTCATGAATATTTATTTGAATAATTTGTAGTTTAGCAGGTCTGCATTTTCTCGATTCGTTATGATAATCTCCAGGGCAATGGTATCTTTCCCAAAGTGTTTTACATGTATGTTCTATTGCTGTAATGTGTTTGTTGTAGAGGAAACATCTTCCTAACTAGATCTTTAGACTACGACGCACAAGACAAAGAATATCGATTCACTCTGGAGGTGTCGGATGGCATGCATGTAAGTGATACAGGCCTACGGGACCCTTTGGGATGTTATTGTCTCTTAGAACATGTTAGAAAATAAACCTAGGGTTTAAGGGTATTTCCAGACATACAAATACATTTGATATAACATTTATCTTGAAGTTATTTTCCTTCAAAGTTTTGATGGTAGAATGGTATAATTCAGTATAATTCAGTATACTTCTTTATAATTCAGTATAATTCAGTATACTTCTTTATAATTCAGTAAACTTCTTTATAATTCAGTATAATTCAGTATAGTTCTTTATAATTCAGTATAATTCAGTATACTTCTTTATAATTCAGTATAATTCAGTATAATTCAGTATGATTCAAACTTAAACGTGAGTATTATCAACTTGTGTCTTCTCGTTTTCCTTTCACATTTTAAAAATTAAATATCCTAACTCATTAGTCAATGATGTTTATGTATATCTTTTTAATGGATGTAAACTGTTACCTGCTCAAACTACACTAACATTGTCTAATGTGTGTTACCTCAGGTGGCTACCACACCTATACATATTCGGATAGATAACGTTAACGACAACTCGCCGGAGTTACTGAACTCAGAATTCACAGTGAACACGCAACGGGTTCAGGGCACCATAGTCACGGCCATACAGGTACATACTGAATATTGACATGTTTGGACGATGTATTGCTTCATAAAAAATCATCTCGTTTAAAAACAGTACGGAAAATAGGGATATGGTACCAAACTTTACGCAACTCGCATTGCGCCAATTTCATTTCTTATCTATAGTCTGGCATCATATCAGGTGTTTTTTCAATTGCATTTTATATGGAATGGACAAGAAAAACCTCGCTGAGAGAGCTTCCTTCACTTTAAATTATTAATGAAATGGAAGATGTTCACGCTTGCATATAACTGGAATTTAAGTTGTATCCAATTATCTGTTATGTCCGTTAAGTAGGAAGTGCAATGTTGCATTTAAGATATATACTCGGATATCACACGATTTGTATCTTTGTGTGGCTAAATAACCATTGAAGAACTATTTCAACATATCTGGTTTCACCTGGGGGTTTGCATTTCCGATGTTAGCAAATGGTAGTGCCCAACACAGATAATATCTTGAATTATTTATACATCTTATAACCAAGGGTGTGCAGGAATCCCAGCCTTTTCGAATGAAGGCAGTAATATGTAGCAAGTAAAAGTATGAATAACATTTCTTCCTTTCACTCGCCATCATTGAACAATGTGAACACAATCAATAATTCGTAAATATTTCTGATTAGATATTTCATTTATATTTTTAGGATTATTTTCAATGAAATGCAGTCTGCTTGGAGTATTGATAAATTCCTTTTATCTGACGGTATCATGATTTTAAATCTTATGTTTTTAACAGTAAGTGTTGATATCATGATATCAACATGTTACTTCGCATTACAATTACCACGTATGAAAACAGTATTGTCATACACAAGTAAATCTGGTCAGTATAAAGCACCGTGGAGTAACTGATGTGAATATTGTTATATCTACTACCTAGGGTCAGGACAAAGATCCGAACACACATCTTCAGTATCAGCTACGGACACATACGTCGTGAGTATATATGATTTTTTTAAAGCATAATAATGTCTTAATGGCGAGAAATCCGTTCCATAGACCAACGTAAATTTTAAACGTTATATAAAAAAACTTAAATGATGGATATACTCGGTAGTTTAACTGTATCCGCATGAAAGTTAGGCCCAATTAGCAAACGTTGATACATTGTAATAAAGAATATGTTCAGTGAAATATAATGAATACGATTCGGGCTTCATCTGCACGTGCGTTGATTGATAAATGTTATATTGATAATATAAACCAGCGTTATGTGTTTTGCTATACGGCTCAGATTAATATTGTGCTTTAAAAGTGGTCGTATTTATTGAACGCAAATGACAGGTGTGTTTAATATAGGCACACTACCTTGAAATAAGCATGTCATTTAGAAATGCACGTTCATCACAAACGCTGAAGAGCGAATGGAATCGCAAACATATTTCGTTTATTATGTAGCTCTTGTTGATCTGGTGTAACCTTCGTTCAAGATGCTGTCGATGTATAGTCACATGATTCATCATCCATCCTATATCATAATTTTAAATGCTTCTATTTCATTTTTTAATTAAGACTATTCGCCGTCAACTCAGTTGGAGATATCAGTATAACCGCAGCACCAAGAGAGCTAAAAGAGGAAAGTTATCTTTTAGTAGTCAATGTTGCTGATGATGGTGTTCCTCAGAGGTCAACAGTTGCCCTAGTAACGATCAAGTTCCCACGTCATCTGCTAATGTCCCGTGGCTTGTTTGCGATAGAAGGGACAGCTTTGCTGGCTGTTATATTAGGCGCCGTTGCGGCTGTCCTCTTTGTAATTGTCGTTATCTTATTTGCCTATATCATACGTTGGTGAGTTTATGTACTTATATCTCTTAATATTCCGTTTTGATTTATTAATCAATAAATGTTTAGGAAATACATATTACATAATCTAAAAAAGACTCGATTAAACCTTATTACCTCCTATGTTTGCAAGTACAGTATACTTTTGGTATAAAGTAAAAAATATAAATAAAATTGAAACGACCGGTACCAGGAAAAAAACTGATATGGTGGTTAAACTAATATATTATTTATGATCAATTGTGGTTACAGTATATCATATTCAGAGTATCCCATTACGTGTCATTAACAATGAAATTTGCGTGTTATTTTATCAAATAGGAAACTGTCCTACACGAATGAAAAACTTACGAAAGTGAGACAACAAAACGGATTGGATCCCAAGGGACTGATGTACAAGTCTGGCAAACCTTCAATAGACTCCGTTTCTGTCGATATAAAACAAAATATCAATGGTGACATTAGAAAGATACCGAACACAGCTATGCCAACAAATATTCGAGAAAATCCGTTATCAGATGACAAGATGCATTACGGGTTTTCAAAACAAACTAAAGAAAGAAGTGACGAGATTCATATAAACTCAGCCGTTATTCCGTACGGAAATTCATTCAACAATTACGAAGAGCGACGAGCCAATCAGAATGACGTTTTAAAGACTTTCCACGTGCCCGAGGGCAGTAGTAGTGGGGAGAGTAGTGACAGTACTGGTGATAGTAAAAGGGGTCTGATGAACGTTTGTCTCCCTAAGACCACATCCCTGTGTCAGACTAATAACTTGTCCTGGGTCGACAACGACCGGACCAACTCATATGACTGGGAGGTATTCATCTTGTATTTTACTAATATTTTGCTACAACTTGTTATGTATTTCATTTTGAAATGTTTTCCCAAAAATAAAATAATTTTCCCTGCAATGGTGTTAAGTTAAGTTTAGGTTGTCGGGTGACGCAGTGGATTTCGCACTTGCCTTTCACCAAGGCGACCTGGGTTCGATTTCCCGATCGGACGTGAAAAGGTATAGCGTCACCTGCCTGACCACACGGGTTTTCTCCGGGTACTTCGGTTTCCTCCCACACTAAGACCCCCGCGCGCTAACATCCGGACCAACAGGAGTGGTTAATATAAGTTGAAATAAACGTTATATAAGTTCAAGGCTAATGACGGATGTTAAACATTATTATTTAAACTAAACGTATTCTAAAGATGTATGCAATGTATATGCAATCATGAACCACAATACCAACAAACAACAAGGACGAATCAGAACACCTTGTCAAGAAGATAGGGGCTATGATTAAGCGAAACAGTATCGTATTTCTCTCAACTGATTTACTTCAACAAAATATCACGAAAAAGTGTTTGCGGACAGAATTTCACTTAGTCCTAATTAACAATAATCATGTTTGATATAACCGACCATTGGCAATCCTGCTTTATGAAGTTGAAATATATGTCAATGTGATGTTTTTTTTTATAAAATAACTTTTCTTCTTTCTTCCCGCAGGAAAATCTACCACAGGATATGAAGAAATCCAACAGGAAGCCTAAAATTACAGTCTACTTTTGATGTTTTACTGAAAGATTTATGGACGTTTGATGTGTGCAACATAAACAATACAAATATATACTTTAGTAAGTCAACACAATTATGTTATCATAAACAATGCCTGATTGACGTATAGAAAGGCTTCGTATATCCCCCTACCACAAAAACAATGACAGAATAGTTGTATAGAAAAGTTGATTGTACAAATTGTATAAGAAATGATGGAAAGGTCATAATATTTGGTGCATTCCATTACCATGAACAACATTCATAAACAGTTAAAAAAATCATAATAGACGGTTACATTTCCATGAACTACAATGGTTGAATTTCGTATACAAATGTTGGTTGTATTTCATTATGTTATGACATCATAATGGACAAGTTGTGTAAAACGTTGCGTAATTTAAAATATAATCCCTTATGTAATTGTTATATAAATAAAGGTTAGGTTATGTATGTTTTGTTTTAGTAACAAAATGAAAACATCAATAAAGTAAATTAATGAAATATATCATTTTCATACGGTCAATAAAAAATTATGATTATCCAGAATAATGTATGTCAGTTAAATCAATTGGTTAATTTCCAGGAAATCCGTTGACACCTGGCTGTAGCAAAAGGAATGTTATTATATACAGGACAGCATGATAATAGAAAATAGGTGAGCTCAATAATATGCCATATTGTATTTGATCATGTAACAGCCATATCTGTAGATAATCAAATAATTACAGTCTCAGCCTTTTTCTTTACCATTGTATTCACTTATATATTTTCAAGAAAAATTGATTTTATACCAAATCTATCGTTTAGATTTGGCGTCATAGCTCTAGCTATCATTGATGATGACGTACAAACCTACATGGTTATCAAACAAGACAGCTCGGACATCATATCAGCACATCTGGAAGCTTGTTTAGGAGACATCAGTACCTAAATGAGCGCCAACATGCTTGAACTAAATATAAAAATGCCAGAACTAATCGCTTTCTCCCACGTGTCTGCGAACACATGCTTTACCCCTCACCTAAAGATCGATGCCTATATTATCGAGACAGTCCCATGTATAAAACACTTGGGGTAAACTTAAACTGTTCATTGAACATGGAAAAAACTAATGATTACTTACAAAATGATGATACTGTCAGTACAGGAACATTGAACGTATATGGTAGTTTATCATTTAATCTACATGTCAGACTTTGGTGTAACATTTGATACACTAATTAGCCGTATGCAGATAGTTCTGATCATGACAGAACCTCTGATTACCCTTAGTGGAGCAAGTTATACTATTGTATTGTCATTTCATTGCTTAATACTGGGATGCGCTACAAAATTTTGATGCAAACAGACAATGCACTAAGTGGAACAACTTATAGCCTATAGCTTGATATCATTTATCGGCCTCACTATCACTTTTGTCAGATACAGAATTTAACTTGTACTTTCATTTTGCTTTACCGTGATGTATATTCATTGGTGCTCAGAAAAGATACCAAAACCATTGCGCTATATTCAGGAAAAATAAAAATAGTGTACGCCTGCATTTTAGCACTTTAAAAAGAAAAGAAAAAAGAGTCTTGTACACACAATGTATACAATAGAGAATTACGATTGGAATGTAAATGTTATTCTGGTTGCTTTATGATCTGTTTTACCATATATATATACCTAAATTTGGTTCTTTTTCTCTTCGCCGGTTATTTATTGAATGCTGGAAAGTGCATTAAGGTAATCTTGAAAATTATCTATGGAACTTAATTAAATAGGTATATTTTCATTTTCTATTTTATTATTATGAGCTTTATGGAAAATTGCATTTCGTTTAAAGTAATTATAGTTCTGTTATTCTGAACAGGAACATCAGATTTATGACGCAATAGCGCAGACTGTTATTATTTTACATTATGTCTACTATATACTGGTTCGCCCCACCATTTTGTCGCACTTCACATGTTATTACAATGCATAGTTTGTTTTGTACTAATTTCACTGTCATGATAAGGTCCCCTCAAAAAAGACCAAAAAGAAACTGCGGCGAAACGTACCCGATGTACAATACTTAGAATGAATGACAAATGCAGTTGTACATATTTATTTTGCTTGTTTTTTATATCTTCTAGGTAGCATGTTTGGTTGACTCGACAGTTTATATCACTTATCCAGAAGTCCTTGCAAATTTTGACAGAGGGTATGCCGATGTTGTCAGGTTAAGCTTTGGGAAAATATGGCGCATTCACACTAAATGAACATTGATCAATATTCACATGGTACTATTGCCGAACGAATAACACCTGCCAACAATTAACGTGATCAGATGATAAGTCAAATACATCAACACGAAGGATATGATAGACATAATGTGCTTAAAAGTTCAATTCAATCAACAGATGGCCTTTGAGTAACTTAACATTTTATGTTACGGACGAGGATCTTATTGATTAGGTGATAACGTGTTGTATCAGCAAGCAAAGAGTGAAACTGTGACACAATGTTTTATAAGTTATAAGGTGTATTTTAATCTACAATTTACCTTGAACTGTTGACAATTTCTTTCATTGATCTTTAGTCTATACGGTAGATCTATCACACCTGTTAACATGCAAACAACTAATTTCATCGCCATACAGTTGACTGTCAAAGTTGATTGAAAGATGGAATTACACTCGGTGACAATGGAATACAACTCATCTGTGAAATGCTCTTTAGACGCTACTTTTTGTATTCGCTAGGCTTGTTTTTTTGTTTGAACATAATCTTACTATGACATTACTTACAATTTGTAAGTTAAAAAACCAATATGTGTTATTTATTGGTAATTTTATATATGAAAATTACCTTATATGTAGCTATTTCCATATGTTTATGCATAAAAGTTGTCTAATAAACTGTATGTAATATTGCAATCTTCTATGGCAGCAGATCGTTATCAATAAAAGTCTGTATAATCAATGTCTTCTTATAGACTTGTATATAACATATCTATTGGAAATGCATAGTTCTTCGTAACAATCTGTCATATGGGTAAGTATTCATTAAGTGATTAGTAACATGGTCTTAGAGCACAACTATATAGAGTTATTAGAGGGAACTATATACCATGACGCCATCATAAAAAGAGATCTAGAAAGTCAGTATTGACGGATTGACAACAACAGGAGCGGAGACGACATACACAACTAAGTACAACTATGACGTTTAATGCAATGGGAGGCGACGAGAAGTCAGTCGACATGCTGTACTTACTGTATACCGGAACATTTTCGCCTTTTTCGCCCTCCATAACGAGCGCTAGTTTATCATTACAACGAATTTAGGTTAACAATATAATAAACATAGTGATATTTTGTGAAGGGTGAAACTTACATTAGTGTATGGGTGAAGGGCGAACGTTTTAACTAGCGAAAATGTCCTGGTATGCAGAATATATGCAATCAACTCCAAGTATATCATTTTAGATTAGGCTATGCAATTAAAATGCATCATACTTATTGCCGTGTTGCTTGTCTAAGCGTCAATGTAAAACATCATTGTTTTGTCTAATATAAAAGACACATAACTGTTAAACTAAGAGCATGAACGTATATTGCTGAAAAAATGACGACGCGATGAAAGTCATTCAACGGCACTATGACATTTAGTAAAGGGCAACAATTGTACTTTTATAACGTTATGTACGCAACTAAGAAAGAATATGAGTTTGTTATCCAATACAACAATGTAGATAAACACTCGTTTTTGTGATGTTTGTCGTTGATAAGTGCAAAAAAAACATATCTTGGTTAATATAACTAAAACAAGCAACACAGCATCAACGCACAGGGACGGAAAAACCTCAAACGAAATACAAAAATAGCAACAGAAACCAAGGAGGCATCGAAACCATCGAAACTATACGTAATAATCCAACTAAATATACGGAACGAAACAGATAAAACGGAAGCGTGAGGAAGTTCAACTATTGTCTATTGTTTTCTTATTTTTCCACTCTTGTTATTGTTAATTGGAAATTAAAATATAGTTTTCAGTGATTTTCAGTAAATGGCAACGCAATGAAGAAGCCGTTGTGAAGTATAATGTCCCTTCTTAATCAACTGCTACATGTATACCTTAGTATTTCGTTCAAACAAACACACCTCTGCAATAACATCATGAGTTTGCAGTTCAATAAGAGGGAAATCGTTAGAATTCTCTATTAGCCTGAAAGTCATATTCGATACGCAAATAAACCACGTTAGATATACTCATACACGTATTTGGCGACCTACGTTCACCAAGGGGCCAATATGTACAATATGTGTAAATAGAGAATATTTAATGATGTCTTCAGTAATACTAAATATATTTCACGAGTGTGGCTCATATTTTGGGCATAAAACATGAAAAATGTAATACATTAAAAAAGGGCGGGAATCTGAAGCGTACTAAATAGCGCCATATTCTAATGACGTAACGCTTGACAACAAGGCTGTGCGCCATCTTGATGGGATACTCAACACAATTCCGGCGTTTTCTGATATTTTCTGGTATGAATGCTCATACAAATGTGATTAATTGTATATTTATGTAAATACTAAAGTGTGTGCACCAAACATTTATCATAACAACCACTTATTCTACCGTCGCTTCATTTGAATATTAACAAAAATATAGTTGCCTTTGAATGCAGCGAATAGAAGATACCGTTATGATTAGTCAATACCGAAAAGTGATATTCTCATCCTGTGATCAGTTGGGGATCTCAACTGTTTTCAATGTAACTTAGAGACAACGTCATCAAGTATGAGGCAATTTCAGGTAGCTATGCTTCATACGCAACAAGTGTTGATGTGGCTATGTTGCGCGGATCGTAACTGTTTCAACATTATGACCCAGGAACAAAGTAGTGGGACTAGCGCTCGAGGCCATATTGGAAGGATAGATGTATTTGTCACTTCATAATCCGCAGTTTATACATGGTGGGGATCTAGACTATTACCAATTTATAATGTCTTTTTTGACAAAGCCTTTCAGACCTGAGTTTGGATCGCAACCACTGTGAATAGCTCCAATCAAATAATGGTTAATATCCATCCATATGTTCCAGAGAAGTCGTTTAAAGCAATATGGCTAAATTACCTTTTAAACCCCACCCCTCGGATTCCTGTGGTAGGTTCAGCCAATCCAATTTTACAATTTTGAATCAAAACCACATGAAATTGTTTTCAATCAGTAATGTTTGATATTATTCTTAAAGTGGTATGGTAGAAGCTGTTCTAAACAAAACAAAATGTCCCCAATCCCTTCACTTCTCGGGAGCCAACCGCTCCATTTAAACCATTCTTTATCCTACAATATCAGAATGTTCCAAGCCAAATTTCGTGAAATTCTTGTCAGAAGGTCAGAAGAAAAAGTCGTTTGAACAAGTTATCGACGAAATGACGACAGACGCCACGGTATGGCATCCACTCTCACCTTGAGAACATACTAAAGGTTTATAAAAATCGACGTTTTTATAAGTAGCTCTTTCGAGACATGTCCACTTCCTTTTGATGTGCACATATTTTGGAGATTTCTTGTGAGAACTATACTTCATTCACCTTTATAACTCACTTTAAACACATTGCATCATATATTGTAATAATGTCAGAGCGGTTATGTAAATATACAATACTTAAAAAAAAGAAAAACACAGAAATCCATTAAATATTTGTTTAAAATCTGTTTATTAAAAAAGAAAGATTTATATAAAATCTAAACTTGATCTGCAACTTCATATTATGGAATCACATAAGGAATGTTTCGATGACGTGAAATGAAAATACCCAAAACGATGATGATGACGTTAACAATTGATGATTACGATAATGTTAACAATTTGGTGAGGATAATAATATGAGTGCATTTTGGGTTACATAAGATTAAACACTGGAAACATATAATATAAAATCATATTTTTTAAAACTGGTAGACCATTCTAAAGTAGGCTCTTTGTGAAGGTGTAAACATATTCAAACTTTACTTGATATTAAAGTGTCCTTAACACGACCAATGTACGCAATGTTTAATCCGGCGTATACTATTGATATTAATGAATTAAATGTGCAGGTGTCAAGATCCATCAGACGAATCACTATTGCTTAATTTTCATTAAAATATTAGCATTGAAATCGTAAAATGTATAAAGGTCCATATAGCTCAACCGGTGAAGAATTGACTAATGATAATTATCATAGTGTTGAACACTTCACCTGTTGTAGTATATAAACCTTTATCCATTACATACTTACCGAATCTGAAGAAAATGTTTAGAAAGATTTAAATAGTGAATTCAATTGCGTGACATTTCAAAAAACAATTTGTTTTTCAGTTTAATATATATTAAGCTGAAAATACATATTGACGCAATCTATTTCAAAACATAATTAGTTGATATTTTTTTACATTTCGATATTCGTTGGCAATAACTATATCAATTAATTTCTCGTCAGTATAAACTTTCCTCTCGAATTTTCAAAATACTAAATGAACATTCTTTTGGTTTGTGTAACTAAATACATCACACGGTTCTGTACATCAATTGTCTCCTTTTCTTTCGTTCATTCTATTTGCCAACATTCAAACACCTGTTGCAACTGACATTGGTTCATACCATATGAATTAATAGCATGTGGTTGGCAAAATGTCAAGTACAATTAACATTGCATTAATTACACTGTGATCAAGAAAACTGCGAATATCATATATATATTGTGCTATAATGATATCTGGATTTGATAATGAATTATTTTGTGATGATATCAACGGTTAAATAATACCTGATACCAGTTACACAGGTGTAATTTAGAATTTTTACACTCTTAACAAGCATACATTTCTACCATATAAAGCTTGATCTTACACAATTTTAGTACGGTTCGATTTGGCTTGAAATAAGGTATCTCCTTCTGTTTATTTTATTGTGATGTGATTCAACGATTTCATTCTAAAACTTATTTATTTTTAAGATATTTTTTTTCGAAACCATGCTTAAATATATTTTAATGCGAGACGCTGATATTATAAAATAAATAGACACACAAACGTAAAAATAAGCCATTTTCAAAATTATATATAATGATTATATGATCATAACATTTTTGCCATCGATTTCCCTTACAATTTCACCTAAAATGCATCTATGAATCATGTGAAATTTCGTGAACTGAAGTAAATTGCACTAACCGTATTAGAATACTGCTATGACTAATTAACTAAATAATAATTAAAATCGACAAAATATAAGATGCCGTAAAAATGATTATATATTAGGGATCCCTGTTCCCCTGCCAACAACCGTAAACAAATAAAAATATTTGTACGACATGACTTTTACTTTGATAAATCATTTTTTGAAAGAAATCCATATCTTGCAGAACTTTTTATGAAAAGGTATATTGAACAGACATTAAATCAACAACAGTGTTTTAAGTGCAAAAAATGCTACGGGCAAGACGAACATTCGAATTATTTCTTTATATTGTCGTTGTTACGTAGTGAACTATCAGATCATGATCAAAGGCGGTACCCTGGCTTAGTCGTTCTACAGTTCAAAATACAACGATATTAGGACAGATGTCTGCGTAATCAAACAAATAACAGACGAATTATCTAGTGTTTTGCATGCAGTGGGACAGGGATCATTAAGTTTTCGTTGTTATTTGTAACGTTTTATATGTACATACACAATTGAATTTTAGTAGGATCACAACCACATGATGTTAATATGAGTCAGTTTGAAAGAGCTCATTGTTTCATCAGTTCAAATGTGTGACAGGTTACAATTCAAAAATGAAGATAGATATCATAGGATTTCATTATTGTATGGAAACAATGTTAAAACAACGATTTGTGATGTCCTCACAAAACCGTTAAGCAACATTTGAAACTGTTATGTACTGAAAATCTGCTAAATGAAATTTCTGACGTCTTTTTTCACGACGGCATCAACAACTTATTCGTGATTTGTTCCGCAAAATTAAAAGGACACAGTTATATTTCGGTTGTTACAATGTCCTTTTTGCAAGAAAATTGATTCCGCAATTATGAATCTTTCTGCAACAAGTTACCAAATATCTTCACCACTGTAGTTGAGTCGAGTCATCAACAGTTATAGACGGTGAACAGTGGTCAAACATGCTGCTGAACTGTATTACACGGACAGCAGTCCAGACTATCGGAAGTCCCCTTTAATCCGAACTGAAATGCCACCATGTTTTCGCTAACGACCGTCCGAACTCGAATGCAGACATTTTTTGAGGGACAAATGTCTCATTGTTGCATTGCTATTTACTCGAATAAAAAAGAGGGAGTACACTGCACAGATATTTCCTTTATTTGTCTTTAACTTATCTACCAGCTTAAATGTTGCTATGATACCGTAAAACCGTAAAATAACGTTCCTGTCTATCACGAACTGCTCATAACTACTATAAAAGAAATACTCGAATTGTAATATCACATGTATGTATGGTATTTAAAACAGATCCAAACTCTGCCACGCATGCATGACTTCTGTTATCCATTGCACGCATACGCGTGTCGTTATATAAAGCGATTCCTTAGAGTCAGAAGGAAGGCGAGACCATTATACTTACAAAGAAACTTCACTAAAATGAGCATTTCTAATATTAGGATTTCAATCAATTCATAGTGGATATGGTATATGTGACTTCAGAGTATATATGATACTTACTGATGGTGTATGAAAACATGATTTTATAAAATACAATGTAACGTGATGGATGACTTTACCAGCAGTGTTCCTGTAATGAGTTTTACGGTACTACCCAAACCAAACATGACGATCATAAGGTAAATCATTATTTATATGTTTGCATAGTAAGCTCTATCGTATACCACATATACACAATCAGCGGTACAAAATGTCTATATGGCAGCTATATCAATCTTCGACTTGTAAATATGACTCAAGTCTACATACCAAACACCCAGCACGGAAATTTTTCTCATAAGTTTGGCAGTCATGTATTAGACCATATAAATAGATCCTATGAACTTCTTGTCTAACATACACATTTATTTTCATATTGGACGTTACATCCGATATCATGGAACATGTAACATGTCGTTGGATGTTTTACGCGTCACTTCCGGTAGTGTCGCTTTGAACACACCTTGAACATTTGATATCACAACATTGCCAAAACTGTTTTATGTATCATCCGGCTGCTGATCCTTGGTAACGGTTAGACTACGACATATACAGCGTCGGTATAAACAGAAAACGTCACTTCCGGTAATACATCATTGGTAACTGCAACGCTCAATGTAACGTATTTCGTCAACAAAAGCAGTCACATTGACTTTGGGATTGTTGTTTTGATCAAATGTGCCGACAGTTAGTGAAAACTTCTATGGCAACAAAAACTATAAGCGTTACTCCCTGAAATGTTAATGCCAAAGACAACTATACTGATATGGCAATCATGCAACGCAATGGTATTTAATCCGAGATAGCTTTCACAGACATGGTTCGATGTATCTGTGATCACAATGCTAGAGACCGTCCACAAGGACCGTATCAAAAAGCGACAAAAACCTTTGCATTTTTGGTGCAGTAAAAAGAGATGAAACCCATTTTCAAAAGTAAACAGCGCGGGACTTATTATAAGTTTGGCAGCAAACTTAACATCAGAAAAAATGTCGTCACGAAATTTAACTTTGGATTCCTTAAATGTCAATCACAAATGTGCAGTATGTGCAGTAACATAGAACACATTCAATTACCTGATGCTTATGATGATGTCATTTGCTCTGTATAAAACTAATGTTGTACGAAAATACTCTACGGGATCAGCAGTGAATCCAACGTGTTGCTATAACTATCACACTGACTGAAAATCCAACACAGCAGTGTATAGTAAAATAGTTAATCAGGGAAATCCCGATATGAATCATCCATGAAATTAAACTTTTGAACACAACCTATATTACTTAATAGTGATAAAATTTGGTTCATCACGTCACGAACTATACGTTATTCCGGACTTTTGTTCATTCATTACAATGATTTTGCTGGGGTAATGAGGTTACACTGTACCCACAACATCTTAACATTGTATGTACCATATCACAAGGTCAACCGAAGTCCTGGTGGAACACATCATCTACTGGGCGGATGTTTCTTCAGAATTCATCCTCAACATCATAAAATGCGCATGCGCAGTAAACATTGGACAGTTTCTTTATTGCACAATAAACAGCACCGACGAGTCTTTATGCAGTTACATTAGAAGTAAACTGTTATCTCTGGTTTATCTTTTGACTTTCTTAATTCCTTTGGAAGGGTTTCCTGAAAATACAAATACAAGAAAACATTGTAAGTTTCACGCTGATTGTCCTGAAGATAGCATGTACTTTCATTTTGACGATAAAACCTGTTTATGTCTAGGAAAAGGTTAACTACAGAAGCCAGGATCGTGCTATGACATAACATTCGAGGTGTCTATCTTTTTTATGCAGAATTTAAAATGACGTATCCTGCTACGATGTAAGACTTGAAATATCAATTAGAGGATAATTCATCAGTTATATTGTAGATTCTGAAATATTATGTGGTTTGACTCTGAACTACTAGACGTACCTCCGAGCTTCCCCGATCGTTGCTGTCACCCCACGAAAGTGTCTTGCCCTTTGATAACGATGATGATTTGTGGGGCCGAATCTTCATCAGACCCCGGTTACTATCACCTGTGCTATCACTGTTGCTACTTTCCCCACTACTGCTGCCCTCGGGGACGTGGAATGTTTTGAGCATGCCATTTTGGAATGTATGTCGATCCTCATAATTATGAAATGAGTTCCCATAAGGAATCACAGCAGTGTCCAGTTGAATTTCACCGCTTCCGTCATTTGAATGATTTGAAAATCCATAATTCATCCTATCGTCTGATAAAGGATTGTCCTGTATGGTTGTAGCGCCATCAATGTCTGACGTTTCCTCAAGATCACCGTCGAATTTCATATCTATTTCAACGGGGTCAGGGGAAGGGTCGCCGGGTTTATAGGTCAGGCCTTTTGGATCGAGGCCGTCATGTAGCCTCGCTTTCGTTAACTGTTCGTCTGTAAATGAAACTCTCCTACGATGGGAAAAACAAACAAAAAATGGTTAACGAAGTTTTGCTTCAAACCATCGTCTCCAAATACTGTAAAAAATGTTGACCCTCCAACATCATTCAATCAATATTTCTATGAAATATAAAACTTAATGTAATTGTTTTATAAAGGTGTATCATACATATGAATGGAAACCAGGCAACACTTGTCTTCCTTTGTAGCGTGTAGCGACATAAAGCTAAATGGTATTAAAAGCCTATACTTTCGGTCACTGAAATAATTTACTATGCGTAAGCAAAATAAAATTAAACAACAATATCTGAATTCTTGGTATTTTTTTCTTAAATCTTGGCATTTTTGTGTTGTGATTGGCCAGCTTATATCTATATACTACTTGTCGACACATCGGGGTTAACATAAATGATCTGTACACAGACATACATAAACCTTATTTGAATGCAATAATATATCAAGTGTATATCAAATGTAAATTTAAGAGTTTTTAAGTCAGCATAAATAGCAATACAAGTATCCCTTATGAAATTACAGTTAATAAAACGTAAGCTTGATGAAAAGCCTCAGTTAGCTGTGTTAAAAATTCAATTTATACTCCCCCCCCCCCCTACTTTCCGAATCGACAACAAAATCAAACTGATAGGTAAGCTTTAAGTATCTGAAACTAGACCCACCTTCGTATAATGTACACAATGAGAATGACGATGATAACGAAGAGGACTGCCGCCACGGCGCCCATGATGATGGCCAGCAAGTCATCTGCCATTTCGCCCTGAGGCTGAGTAACGCCAACACCTAGTGGCGGGAATTTCACTGTTACCAAGGCAACTGTTGACCTTGGAGGGATGCCATCGTCAGAAACACTAACCACTAAACGATAACTATTTTCCAATAGCTCTTCCGGGGAAGCTGTGATGCTGATGTCTCCTTGGGAATTGATGGCGAAAAACCTGGAAATATATAATAAATTCATTAGTATAACGTCATTAATACAGATGAAGAGTACGCACATTGCAATGACGTAGTTATCATTTTGATAATTGGTACACAGATGAGTATTTCATTATCAATATTCATTTCAAGAGCCCACACATTACAATCACGTTATCAGTAAAAAAAAACATAATTAATTATGGAAAAAAAAGTATTCTGGAGTTTCCAATGACGTGTTTCTTTTATTTATATTTATAATCTTTATATACTGACCAACAATGTGCGACCGTGTCCGTGATACTTTATTTGGATGTAAACACTATTCAACGACACGGTCATCTACCTCCACTGATTAAATACAGGCGGTGAGTAACGCCGAGAATAGATTAAGGCAAGGAAAGTCGACCTTTGTGTCGTTTAACCTGTAAACACGCTTATCTCAATTCTAGGCTAGCCTTGTCAAATATTTAATTAATAGCTGCTTGTTTTTCTTTTCAGGTATATAATATAATACATGCATTATAAAAGTGAGTGCATAGCAAAATTCACTGTTGACAGACATAGACATCCCTTATCTGGCATTATCAGAAAAAGATCTACTTCCAGCTATTTGAAGATTTAAACAATCGTTTAATTGGATTGTTACTTTCCGCCAACACCTTAAATTAATGATATAATATCCGTGTGATAACACGGATGTCGCTGTGTGTATCAACACAAAATGTTATTCATTGATAATTATGTATAAGGAATATTTTTAATGGCGGACACCATGAACCTGAATTACTACGCATAATTATATAATTCTTCGACACAAAATCTTCCAAACTAGTGTAGTCTTTTATATAGTCGTAATCGTTGCTTACAAAAACATACAAATAGTCGTTTAAGAGTTACTGCAAGTGAAAATAAAAATAAAATAAGATATTTCGAGGGGTCCAAATCATGGGTATATGAATTTCGGATCACAATGATTCACTCAAAAAGAGGATTACTTTATATCAAACCTGTAATTACTTCGTGGACCTATGATTTTGTGGATGAAGATTACCCACGAAATCAACGAAATTAATGATTTCACAGTACCCTTATATTAACGCGCATGGTTAAATAAGGAAAACAAAGTTTACACGACAATAATAAATAGACCCATGGAGACAGTAAAAACAAAGGACGCAAACCAATACTCTTAACAAAATCCTGGAGTTGTGACCGGTAGCCCACAATGTTTTAGTGTACTTCAACTGTTAACGATACTAGTATACTTACGAAGTGAAGGTCTTTATATTGAGGAGTTACTGTAGTTGTGACCGGTAGCTTTCACTGGTCTGTCCATTATGTTTTAGTGTGCTACAACTATTAACGATACTCGCATACTTTCGAAGTGAAGGTCTTTATATTTAGCTGGTACTGTAGTTGTGACCGGTAGCCTACACTGGTCTGTCCGTTATGTTTTAGTGTGCTACAACTATTAACGATACTCGCATACTTACGAAGTGAAGGTCTTTATATTTAGCTGGTACTGTAGCTGTGACCGGTAGCCTACACTGGTCTGTCCGTTATGTTTTAGTGTGCTACAACTATTAACTATACTAGTATACTTACGAAGTGAAGGTCTTTAGCTGGTACTGTAATTGTGACCGGTAGCCTTCACTGGTCTGTCCGTTATGTTTCAGTGTGCTACAACTATTAACGATACTAGTATACTTACGAATTGAAGGTCTTTATATTTAGCTGGTACTGTAGTTGTGACCGGTAGCCTACACTGATCTGTCCGTTATGTTTTGGTGTGCTACAACTATTAACGATACTAGTATACTTACGAATTGAAGGTCTTTATATTTAGCTGGTACTGTAGTTGTGACCGGTAGCCTACACTGGTCTGTCCGTTATGTATTAGTGTGCTACAACTATTAACTATACTAGAATACTTACGAAGTGAAGGTCTTTAGCTGGTACTGTAGTTGGGTGTTGATATCCCTGTCGGAACCCTAGAGAGAGAGAACGTTACAATGACAAGGTGAACGTTTCATAGCCAACATATTTAGCGGCCTAATTTGACATGCATGACTTTAAGCGCGATTCAAGATACCGATACTTTATTCAAACATCATGGTTGGTTTACATATGGTAATGATATTCATGTAAGTATACTGTTCTGTTAGAATAAACCTTAAAACAACTATCAAATTTTATTTGTAATCCATAATCCAATTAGATACCATTCTATGCTATGCATACAGGTAGACTAAAATAAAAACCAAAACGAGTATTATGTGTCTGTTTTTTGAACGGAAAAAGTCTTTTTCATGGAAACTAGTATACTAATGGATTGTATTGGTCATAAGTGAACAAATTAATTTCCTTAATATAAATAGGGAATCACTATCGGATATTTCTTCAGAAATATATTTGCTGATGGCATAATACACAACATTAGTTAGGGACGTGACTAACTTACAATACTAAAACCCATTACTACTTGAATTAGTAGTTTAGAAAAGAGCTTTAAGCATATAACAAGCTATGTTCTACGGATGTTTTATCCCATGCAGGATACCACCTCATGATTGTACGGTGCGATTAAAGGATTTTTGTTTATTACACTCTTAGTTTACACCAGTAGGTATTATCTTAATATTTTCTTACACCCTTTATATACTACATTTGCATTTCTGTTGGGCAATGTCACCCTTTAGTTAGGTACATTTTTGTGTAAAGAATGGGATATTAAGTGTGATAAAAGGACGTTTTTCTACTGCCAGAAAGTTGATCCGTGTCGTACCTCTATGACAGTTATTATTGCGCCCTGCACTCTTTCCGTTTCCACTACGTAGTCGTCATTTCTTAGTTCTGGTGTGTTGTCATTTACATCCGCTACCCTGATATGGATAGACGTGGACGCCACCTGGTGACAGAATCAAAAATATATCAATACGAGTCGTACATTGTATACCTTTATATTAATTTGCAAAGAATGTTATCATTTCTAGCACGTGTTGCAACTTATGAATGTAAAACAGAAATATAGAAAGAAAGAGAGAAAAGAAAGAAAGAACGATCGATGCATATGGTAGCTATGGTTTATCATGAAGCGTTAGATTTGTTAATGCACGGGCACCACTCGATTTTGTTCTCATCTTTTTGAAAATGGATATGAGTTTGACCTACGGACTTGTAAATATTTCTGGTACATAAACCTGTATTACTTACATTTATACCATCAGACACCTGAAGAGTAAATCGATATTCCTTGTCGGGGCCGTCATAATCTAGGGGCGTGACCAGAAATATATTCCCTCTGTAACACGAAATGTCAATTACAATTAGTAATATAAACTTGAATCTTCAAAACCTATGTTACATTTTAGTTGTTTCATGATTTTAAACAAAAAGGATTTAATAAGAAAGCTAACTTTTAGTATATACCTTTGTGACAATTTTGTAATCAAGGCATCTTAGTTAATTAGCATTTTTACAGGTTATTGGAAAAGTAGCAGAAATGCTGCATCCTGCCACACCATAGTGTAAGGAAATTCATCTCGGCCTGTTGAATCGTTTTATATTGTTTCCATGTCCTATGCTTAATGTTCATTGAAAAAATTAATTCTGATTCAATGTACAAATTGCAACACCTTTGTGACGATTTTTTTTTTTCTTTTTCTTACAAATATCTACATTTTTCCGTATCTCTCCTGATACATTGTGGATGCCTATAGTGTATCATATCTTATTCATTCAGTCTTTGCGTATTGCAGAGTTATCTTCTCTTGTGAGCAGGTATTGATTGTTACGTCATTGGTTTGTGAGAGTAACGTCATCATTTTTTGAGAAAACGACGAAATTTTCTCACACAAACCAATGACGTAACAATCAATACCTACTCCCAAGAGAAGATACCTCTGCAATACGCAAAGACGGAATAACCTTTCAGTGCGTTGAAAGGCTGTGTACACCTATCTTCCTACTTTAAATAAATACAATATTGTTTCGTTATTAACGATCGAATCCTTATCAGAAATGTATCTTGTTTGTTTTTTGTAATGATAGTTGACCACGCGTCTCTTTTTATGAGAATCGGTCAAAGAAATATCAATAAACTGTAAATTATCTAATCTATCACTTCACCAAGACTTATTGGGTGATCAACGATCACTATATCACATAAATGAACATTAAACCCCACACTCCCAAACACCTACCTCTGGTCTACAGCAAATTCTTGTATACTTTCCAGTATGGTGTAACTCAGAGTTGTGAGCTGAAATATAAGTAAATTCACACCATGTGATAAAACAACAACTTTATTTTACAACAATTACGAAACGCATTATTTCAAATTATAATAATCAATATTGTTGGCCCGAATGCTAGCGCGCAGAGAGGACATCAAAGTATCCGGAGAAAACCCATTTGTTTGAGAGAAAAAAAAAATCTTTAAGCAGAGGGTATAAGATAATTTCAAGATTATTTTTCAAAGAGAGTGGATTATGGTAAATTGAAATATATATAGAGAAAAAATATGTTTCGTTTTTCATTAATGCCTACACAGATAGTGGGATTAAATAACGTTCAACTTTACACAATCTTAGAGAGGAGTTCAAATAAATGCATTGGATCCTCAATTAATTTCGAAATGCCTTGCATAATAAATGTAAAATACAATACTTCACACTTCCTTACCGGATTGGTAACAGTCACCGGAACTGTCATGACGGTTGTTCCGGAAGGCTGGCTCTCAGAGATGGTAGTTTCGTACAAATTCTGTTGAAACGATGGTCCGTCCGGTCCACTTGCGTTGTAGCCTGACACAGCGATGGTAACCAAAGCAGTACCGTACCGCAACGGGTTGTCACGTTGGACCGCCTGGGGAAGGGACGTTAGAGTTACTTCCCTTTTCAGTAAATAATACATTTAGGGGTCTGTTCTGATCCTCGTATAGTATTAAGATAGTTATTGAGTGTATCTATGTATATTTGAGTATGTGGTTGTAATTCTATTCCAATGACTCTGACTTGCATAAAGCCCTTAAGAAACACACTAATCAGTTTAAATTAAACAGGATCAGCTAAGCAATCGATTTGTAGTCTTTCATTCTTACTCTTTGAAAATTAATTAATTTGGTTTTTGATGAAAACATACTTGATAGGCGGATTAAGCCACTGACGAAAAATATGTTGTTTATTCCCTGCAAGGTCTGGATGTCATTCTAACAGTAGAGACCTTAAGGGCCTGTTACAAGAATATGGTTAGATCCATTGCCTACTGATTTATGTCTTGCTAGCTATAACCGTGCGTAGCTATTGGGGAAAAAAGATACAGATATCGACTACGTCAGCAATAAATAACTAAAATAAGAAATAGATAAATAAATTAAACAAATTATGATTCCCATTTATGTCTGTCCTCTCTATCAATTGGGAATCGATATAAACAACAATACCTCGAGTATAGCTGCGTATGTTGTCTCTGACAGTTGGGATTCCACAGTTATCTCCCCTGTTATTTCATTTATAATGAAGCGATTTTTCGGATCTGTAAAGAGGAACATACACACTGGTTAGACAGGAAATAACAAATAGTTTGTCAGGAAAGGTCTCCTTGCTAACCTTAATATTTTCTTTTGTTGTTCTAGATAATTATGTTTATCATGATATCGATCTATCGAATTATCAAAAGCGAGCGGAAATCTGCTGTCTACAAAAAAAGTTAAATTTATACCGTATTCGTTATATCTTTAAAAATACCAAAGAATTTTACAAAATTCGCGAAAAGAATTTAAAAAAATATTTTTTTTATGTAAATCTATTATGAAAAACATTTAATTCAGTTATTAGATTATCTCCCTTTCCTACTACAACGTTTGATGTATGACACTACCTACCAAGCATATAATAAATAACTGGAGTGTTGAGCTGGTCCTGATCCTGAGCTTTGATTGGAGGGTAAATCTTCACAACAGTACCCTGGGTAAAGGAACAATTAATACAGCATTAATGCCAAAATCCTATTCATTAAGCACATTGTATTATATTCGAATGCAAAATTATGTCATCGTTTCATCAAAACTTAAGCAAAGATATAATTTGTAACAAACAAATTAATGACAAGATTAAAAGCTTTATCTATATTACATATTTGATAATCGAAAAAGGACAGGAAGTCTTTTTCAGCTTACCCTGGTTGCGTTTACATGTACATTTCCGGTGTAGAAATCAAAAGTGAAAGTAGGGCTGAGGTCGTCCACGTCAACGACGTTTATGGTCAAGGTGGCGCTGCTGCTCATACTCACTCCACGCTCAGGGTTGTCCTGTAAGCGATGTATATATCACATAAAAGCAATCAATAGTATATTGCATGTTTTCATGGTTCTGTTTTCATTATTATAGTGAGGTTTTAAATGTTTCAGAAAAGCATTTAGGAAAGATATATTTCTTAGAATATCAAAATGTCTAAAGAAAGCATTTACGCGATATATTTAATTCCCAAATCGATGATATGCCCTTTCAGCCCTGATCAAGTAAATATATACCTTACGCTATTTAAGGCTACAACAATGCTGTTCTATATGTATGATTTAGATCTTGTATTGATTAGACAATTTGACATAACCAGATGGCTCGAATTCACGTGCAACTAAACAAAATACAGCTTGTAATATCTGTCCTGAATTTTAAATATGTTCAAATGTTAACTTTAGTATAGGAACAATTGAAAAGACTGCTTTTGGGATTACAACTGAACGGAATATCGCTCGGAAGAAATAAATGCGAATTCTTCTTTTCGTCTAGAATCCCTATTTAGTTCTTAGGACAATTACCGGTACTCTGTGAATAATATTTTATTAATTTGTCTGATACATAAATATAAATGTGTTAAGACAAACGGTGACAAGAGTTATTATTATATTACTGATACTGGGATAAATATACTTTAATAGACAGGCATTACTGACAATAATGGTTACACATCCTCACAAGTTTTGAGAGGAACAGATGGAAACATACAATTTATTAAACAGTTTTCCGGACTTTAACATAACAAGGGGCAATTAGTCTGTTAATTATTATTGGATCAAAGTTTGTGATACACATACACACCTATCTCATCAAATTCTAATGGAGGTAAACTATATCTGGGCCCAGTTGTTCTAAAGATGATTAGCTTAATCACTTATTAACGACACTTTTCAATCTTTAATAATTTCGTCAATATACAAGGTAAAAACTTGTAATTTTACACGTTCATTAACTCTACTAAATACTTCATGTCTTGAAAGTTTTGACTCAGTCAATAGTTGTGTTTCAAAGATACACATAAATTGAGCTAATCACTGATTAAGCTAATTGCTCTTTAAACAACTTGGCCCTGGTATCAAAATGTTAATAGGATGCAAACTAAAGTCAAATTTATTCGGACGGACAACACAAACCATAATAAGTCTCGTTTAAGTGATCGTATGAACATCAATACTAGTCTAGCCAGTACGTATAGTTCACAATGGTCTTTTGAACCTTTTCCCTGACAGAGATACCATGACAACGCTTACTCTGTAAAACACGTGTTTTTTTTTTTTTATCTTTGTCACCATAAACATATCAGTTTGAGCAATAGGAAATACACCTCTCCTTAAACGCAAAGACAAACTCAAACCCTAATTGGAAGCTCTTAAATTTAAAGTTCGACTTTCCACACAAACTGAAATAAATATTATACTCCGTAGATACATTATACATGTAAGAAATGCGCAGACACTATTCTCTTTTAAATGTCGACCTTTGATGAAATTATCAGTTTTTGTTTCTGGTATGACGTCGTTCATGTGTGTTATTACTGTTACGTAAGCGTCAGTATTAAAAAGCACGAGTCATAAGTATCACGTGACTGTATAACCTTTACAAATAAGTACACGTATGTTAGGTGTCGCTCGTGATGTTACGCGAAAGCGCCACCTAGAGAGTAGTTTGGCAACAGACCAAGGAAAGGTAACACCACATTAAAGCAGAGTACATGTAGCTTGATGGCTTGTAAAAACACATCTGAGACTCATGTCGGCGATGGGGCAATGTCTAGACTATTGTAGACAAAACCCCATCAAAACGTACAAGGTATCAATGTGGCTGATCTAGAGGTGGCGAAACCAACCCCTTTTGTAACTTTCTGAAATATGACCATTATAAATACGATTCCAACTGAACAATGGTAACATGAACAGTTTTTTTTTTATCGGATAATGTTGAAAAAAAATTACAAATGAATCGGAAAGAAATCTTATTATGTTTATTTCTTAAAAAGTCAAAGGTACATTTACCGAACAGTGAAATTACGTCATTTGGGTAGAAGTCGTAAACCTTTAAGAGTTAATTACATGTTTGTAGTGATTGCAGCCCTTGTTCAAAATAGAAATATGTTTTGAGACAAAAATGTTTCCATTAAACTTCCTGGGACGACTTCCTACTAAACTTTGCGATATTCGGAACGATTTCGATTTTTTTTCTCTTTCGAAAACCTTCCCTTTTGTGATAGTAAGATCCCTGCTTCCCTTCCATACGGGGTTAATAATTCACATGTTTATTCTGTTTTTAAAGGCTCGCTCCTTATATCACTATTTCCGTGATTGATGTCGATAGCTGGCGAACTTACAACAAAGGTTTTCCCAAGATGTTATGTTGACGATGTCGATAGCTGGCGAACTTACAACAAAGGTTTTCCCAAGATTTTATGTTGACGATGTCGATAGCTATGGTTATGGACAAGTTTCATCCACACCAATGTGTTCACTGGGAATGTGATATGCCTTTGTGTGATATGAACATCAATGCTTTCTATTACCCTCATTAAGTATGCCTTGTTGTGTTGTTGTCACTATCCCGGTTCTCGCTAAGAGGACGTGACATTACTTGGGGTTGACATAGATTTGCCTAAATGAAGGATGTCGCAGATGAAGCACAAACCTCTTACCCATCTGAAACACCCGAGCCCGTATTCATGAAACCGTTCTCATGCTCAAGCATGGATTTTGTGCTCAGGCAAAAATGTTTGCTCCGTTTATAAATTAATAGTCAAATTTTATTTTGTCAATGATTTGGAAAAAAAAATTAAGAGGCTTCAAGCCATATTCTAGTGTTTACATTTGATTTTTTGATCGTTTGAAATGATTTGAGTGAGTTACAAGAAGGGTTGGTTTGAACACAAAATCCATGCTCAGGATTCCATAAACCATGAAATGATATTTTCACAATCAGAGCAATCTTCACAATATATTAATTCCGGATGTGATTTTTACTCACCTTCGCTTCTATCTCCACTGTAACAGTATTCAGTGTCTCGAAGTCGAAAGGTTTTTTGAGCTTGATATCGGGGTATAGGGGGTACTCGATATCAAAATAGTCCGAGTATGTTCCGGGGAGGATCCGGTACGATATCTGATCATTACCCCCTCCCCTCTGGTCAGCGTCCGTTGCTATAGCGCCATTGAATATCGTCGTCCCAACAGCCGTGTCCTGCAAGAAGCAAAAACGTCAGCAACCACTAAGATGCATGTTTTCATGTAAAGTGTAAATGCGAAATTTCAATCATCCAAGCACACAACATATTTAAACTATATTCTATAAATAAAATGGTATCTATATATAGTTTATAATATATTAGTCATAGTATTAAAATGTTTTTTCCACGTACATGAAATCTACTAAATTGGTTTTGTTACAACCACTTCCACATTTTAAATATCCATTTGATTTACTGTATAATACCTATAATATTTCTTGAAACTGTATACATTACTAGGCCCCATTATCTAAAGCCTTAGGGTCTGTCCTAATCTGAGTTTGAGCTACATAGTGTATTGTTAAGGTCAACGCAGCCTAAGACAGAGTCAAAGGGTTTTGAACTGTAGCGTAGGGGTCTGACCAGGACCCGTATTCATGGAACCGTTCTCATCCTCAATCATGGATTTTGTGCCCATGCCTAATTTCCTGTTCAGGTCATAAACTAAAAATTCAATCTTATTTTGTCAAAAACGAAAAACATATTGTTTTGGAAAACATTTGAAGAGAGTTAAGCCACAAACTGTTTAACATTTTACAACTGACTTTTTGATCGTTTGATATGATTTAAGTGAGTCATAAGAAAGTTGGTTTGAGCACAGAATCCATGCTTTCAGCATGAGAACGGCTTCATGAATACAGGCCATGGTTTATTTCCCTTATTTTGTCCTAATACTATTTGATCGTTGGAGTCACGTTATCCAGACAAATCTTAAGTTTACAACATATTAACATTGCAGTCATACTTCTATAAAACATGTCCTCATCTTACCTCTGTGACATTGAAGACGTAGTTGGAGCTAGAAAATATTGGCGAGTTGTCATTTACGTCCTCCAGTATAACCCTCACAGTTAGCGGTATCTGCAAAAACAGTAGAAAGGTCAATGGTATAAATGCATATGCCTTTTCATGAAAATAAGTTACTGTAAAATGGGAATTATCGCGGTGTGGAAATGTTCGAGTATTTTTCCGAGTTTCGTTATTAATCGAGAAAAAAAGCACACACAAATATAATATCTACATTAAATAAACTATTGATGTATATAGAATACTATATATATCTAAGAACCATTGGTAATGCAGAAATTACGACTCAGTTATCATTTTAAAGAATCACGTTGCAAAGATTAACGCATGTGAGAATTTCCAGTTCTGAAGTAATCTTCATTTGTACCAATACTGTGAAATCATATTTTTGTGGGGCCTAAATTCCCTGGTGTACCAAATAAAATCATCATTTCGTGGGTAAGTGATTTCGTAGGCCACGAGTACCCACTCATACGGATAACAGCTTTATGTTAATGGTGTTACATTTGTATTACCTCCTGGACCTATGAATTCGTAGATGAATAGTACCGACGAAACTAACGAAATAAGAACACCTACGAAATTTAGTGATTGCACAGTAGGAGGTTATTTGTTGTACTGCTTCTATTTGAAATATAGTTTAGACATCATCAGAAAAATGAAATATCTTCATATATTTTTAGAATTTGTGTAGGCCAGTTCAGGATGACAATTAGGATGAAAGAAATAGAATGCAAATGTATAAAATAGATACCACGATTCTCAATAGGCTATGACATAAATGATTAACTTCTGTGAGCGAGTGTAGCAGCGATACAGTTTGATATCATTACACAGATTCATATCGTGTCTAGGAAGTTACGTGCTTCATAACAAAATGGACAGAATATTATTCCGCACATTCATGTAGTTTAATACAAACGTACATCAAAAAAGATACGCTTTAACACTACCAAATACCGACAAAATGCCAACTAGTAAATCATGCCAAAAAACTTTATATAAACCATATACCAACACAATATTGCATATTTTTTTATTTTGAAAAATCCGAAGCCAATGAATCTCGAAAGGAAATGACAGCAGCGAGACGGGAAGTATTCAGAGTAAAGGAGTAAATTCAAATTTCTTTATGAATAAGACTGTGTTATGCAAGCTTAACGTTGTTGCAGCCTGTTCATCCAGTTCAACACAAAAGTCGTCAGACAGTTATGTAGTGCTTGCCTGCACTCGGACTCTTGCTTTTTCTCTTATTATGAACAGGACAATGGACAAACCGTCCTCCTGGTCGTGACAAACGTGGCTTAAGATTATACAGTATGTTTGGTTTGGTGTTATTGAGCTTAGCGTCCTATTAACAGCTAAGGTCATTTAAGGACGTGCCTTCGTGTTTTACATGTTAGTGTTAATGTGTGTACTCATTGTCGCAGGCGTTATGTTCATGTCTTTGTCTCCTTCCGATAGCAACAAGAGTGATTAATACAAGTTGAAATATCTTGTTTCATAATTGTTGTAAACTAAATGAAGTTTTTCTTTTGCTGTTATGATTACCATACGTGTTAAACGTTTAGCATCGAATATTGAACTACCATTTATTAGGACTTTGGTATGTCCCGGCTTCGGGACCGAACCAATTGCCTTCCTTATCTGGTCGAACGTCAAGCACCAAGGCCAAGATAAGGGACTGAATATCAGTGATTTGTTTTGTCGAATAGTTTGTTAAACAGTCAGATACCCGAAGTACGTATGACCTCTATCTCGTATGTAAAACCTAGATGAACGTTGAGAAATAGAAGCATCTTAGAAAACAATTCATTAAAACAACATCAAACTTACAAGAGGCATGCCCACTTCGTTAATGATGCGGCAGTTGACCAGGAGGGTGATGGTACCAGTACCCTGATCAGTGTCGAGCGCCACCTGGAGGGTGATGTTGCGGCTGACTGTATCAAAGAGGAGGTAAGTGTTGGACTGCTGGGATAAATCCACAGTATCTGGACCACCCAAGACATTCAGCGTTCCCAGTACAGAACCTATAACAGAGTTGTTGGATTTATTATATACATCATACTAAGACTAAATATTTTATGTATAACCAAATGTACAGTCATTACTGGTGTTGTGTAACACTGCACTGTTGTTGAATTTTATTGGAATATACAGTAGTTCTCGCTTAATTTGGTTTTAGATGAAAATGTAGCAAAGTTGGTCCAAGACACTTTCATTGACAAAGAAATGAGTGGGTTCGAGGAACAGTATTTCATTACAAGCATAATACAGGTTTCCTTTTGTTTTCACATGTTACAGATGCTGGGAAAGGGATGAAGGTAAACAATTTCTGGTTTACATACCGACAGGCGTGTCTTCTGGAACATCAGTGATGAAACTCTCGTATCCTGCCTCCGAAATGGAGCACGGATCTGTAAAAACAATGGAAGTTTGAAATGAAACAAAATGTCATATATACCGGGGGAAATCTGCATGTCTATGGTTTTGTATTCTTGCATCGCCAATGTCTAAATACCATTTGATGCAAATAGCATGTTCACGTGGACATCTAACGAACACTTTAATTCATGTGTGTTTACCTCATCAATTGTCAATGGAATTGATGCTTAGGCAATACAAATTGTGCAAATGGATAATTCTTCCTGGTAGATAAAGTCGGAGACTACTTAAATTAAAGTGCTTAACAATAAAAATTAAAAATAAATATCAACATTAGTCGAAAATACACTGTACTGTAATCATGAGCGGGCAGATGCAAAAAGTACAGGACCCGCATAGACATCATACATGTACATAAAGTACACTTAGACCAACATAAAAACAAATGACACAAATCATTCATAATAGGCCCGCTAGGGTTACTGTTACGTGTTTGGCGTAAGTTTAGGCACAGTCATAAACAGATTACCAGACAGACTGCGCTGTTAGTTTATGTGCATCCAGCACATACACAAAACCTAAGCTTACATCGGCATACACAGTGAATATTATCATAGGGGAGGGTTTTGGTACAACACATTATCACAAGTGGATGTATTTATATACGGGATCATATAATTGCATTTTAACTTTTTTCTGTTGTTTTGTTACTAAGATCGTTTTGATAACTTTTATACCGGATATCCTTTAAACTTCCATCGAACCAACCATATGAACTCCAAGCTCGCGGAAAAGTAGAGATCTTATGTAAATAGTGCCGTAGTTTCAAGACAATTTTACTATTAGAACCGTTATGGATTCCTTTTTAGGTTATTTTCAACCAATACATATCGTATTTAACCCATTTTAAAATATATTTTTAAGAATCACTGTTGTTTGGAATTTTAGTATTTGGAAACAATAAAGAAAGAAAGAAAGAAAACAGTATAAAAGAGGCAAAATCGGGATCTGCATGTTTCTGACGATCGTGCACTCTATAAATGTTGCTACAAAGGAATCGTAATTGAAAATTTAAACGAAATATGAATATAATACTAAGGGAAGTAACTCTAAGCTAGCAAACTATTTTTGAAGGTTCAGTATACGTTTTAGTGCAAGGCAAACATTAATGCTAATTAAGCTTTGAGTTCCGTATCAAAACGCAATGTTTGCATACGTGTACAGGAAATGGTTTAAATAGGAACTCTTTACGACAAGACATTATATCGAAGTCAGCGAGAAACAGTTATTTCATTGACGTATGAAAATTTTACATAATAGACAGTCAGTTTTATCAACTGGGGCCAGTAATGGACAAAAAAGAAAAACAATCCTTATCATTATACTTTTTTTAAATGTATACCGGGAATGTTCCGCTGCAGTTTATCCTTCGCCATTTTGCCCTCCGTTATGAGGGCGAATTCATCATTACAGCGAACATTTGTAAACAACATAATATACATAGAAAGTAAAAGTGAAGGACAAATTAAATATCGGGCTAAAATTGAATTTTACCGTCGATTGGCGAAAATTTGACTGGGCGAAAACATCTTGGTATACAGTATTATGTTTTCGTTGCCATTTCAAGTATAACCTTCTTCCACGCGCCTTGTTTAACTAAAAATCGATTTTCTTGTATCAATGCATAAACCAATGGACAATTTTGTGGCTAAGAAACACTTATCAAACTCAATACTAACCATAACAAAATTACGATACAGGCGAGGTCCTATGAGATCAAAACCTGTTTTTTTGTTTTTCTGATGTATTCTGTATTTCTATAAGCTCGTCAACACTACAAAAGTATAAGTCACACAATTGAACATGAGTAAACAGCTGCTATGCGCAAAGGGAACTACTAGACGCTGAAATATTTCTAGAAAATGGTTGAAATAGCAAATTATAAAGCTACACAAAGTCGTGATGGAAGCAATATATCAATTGCAATCTGTTAAAATTTCGTTAGAAAGAGAAAGCACACAAGAAAATCTCAATCTCAAGGGTACTGTGTCATACAGAAGGACCTTGACCTACGCTCTTAAACCTGCAAATGGTTAAGAATGATGCATCATGGGAGAATCCATAAAAGTTTGCTGTTTGATGAAGAGGATAGCGACAATGTCATAGCTCGTTATATTGAAGACATCGTTGCACATTAAGAAGGAATGAACTAGGTTCTACCAGCAGAAATTTAGTTTGTGTAAAATATCCAAAAAAAATCACATTTTTTAATATTACTTCAACTTTGCAATCATTCAGCAAAGCACAGTGTGCAACATAGCTTGATGTACAAAATAAAGGATAACATCTTATGTTTTTTAGCCTTCAATGCTACAGTTTGCGCAGTGTCATTTGGTATCTGTACTGATGATACGATGTACAACAGTAAATAAATCGACTTTTCTGTATCGATAATACAATACAATACTGGATGTGAACTTTTAAAACCATGAATAGCCGCCTTTTTTTAGACAGCAAAAGACAGGAACACTCGAAAGCTCGCCGGAACGTCTTATGACTCGGCAAGTTTATTCAAATAACACATTTTATTAACTTATAATTCGTAAACTGTTTTCAGAAATTCAGTTGTAAAATATGTTGTGTAAATATATTGTAGTTAATGTCACGTGACGGGGACAAAATCATATAAAAGGAAATAACTATGAGAGACAGAAAGGGATGGATAAATAAAGCGAAGAGGAAAGATTCCGATCGTAGTTGTAAGAAACACAGTTCATTTCAGAGCTGAACAATGTCAAATAAGTTATTTCATAAAACCTACTCACTGTAGTTAAGAACTAAACCAACCATAGAATTAAAGAAATCTTTAAAGTCTTTTTGCTTATATTTCTATATTATGTACCGGCACGTAAATTGAATCACGCACAACCTTCAGTAATTACTTCTCGTATAAGATTGAAGAACGTGGACTCGTGTCGTGTGCTTGGCATGCACGTGTCTTTTTTCAACTTAACGAGATGGTACTACAAGAACGAAACTGCGTTACGACAATCCTTAATACAAGGTCGTTAGTGTATTTAGGAATCAAAACTGCATAGACTTGGCACACGCTCCTTCTACAAGAGAAGTGTCCCTGGCTAATACGATTACATTTTGTGAAGGAATAGTATATGGGGACTGCAATGTGTATGTTTCTGATGGTACAAAAAAACAGCTTATAAGGGCTGCCGCGTGGCTCCTGCAGTCGTCTGCACGTGACGTGGTGCATGTTGTTTGTACATTGGTTCCATCCATGTCACGAATTCGGCTGCAATAATGGCGTGCGGAAGTCATTTCTAGTGTAACACATTTCAAGTTTGTTTTTTATAACATTTCAGTTTTAAATTCATTGGAGTTGCGGTAACTGATGTGGTATTCAGTCGTAAAAAGGTGTGATGTGCTTCGTGATGAATATGCTGAGGAATTCATCTCAATTGTGTTTCATGAAATTAATTTCAAGAGGACAATAATTTCTCCCTAAATGTTGTAATCTTTGCGGTAATAGCTTTTTCCAGAGCTGTGCGGTTTGCTTCATTAGAGTTGTGGACTACGTACAGCGTGTGTGAAAAAGTGGCATTAAACTTTGGCTCAGTCTCAGTTGGAGCTGACATCAAAAACCGCACGTTCTTTGCTGGCGCACGCGATCGGTTGTAGTGAGATAAACGGATATAGGAGCAATATTTCCTTTTAAAGCATAATGTTTGATTTTCAGATTAGTGCTGTTCAACTGGTTTTCGTTCCATGGTGTCTGTCATCTGACTTGTGCGCGTGAAAACAACCTACGACAGTAACAATGTCACGTGATGTACGGGCAATTATATCACGTGATAACAATATATCCCTAAAATTGTCGCGAGATATACATGGGTTGTTAAGTCTGTAAAGTTGCCAAAACAATCGTAAACCACTTAGGATGTATGCTTTGTATACCACACACACTTTAGAATACTGTAGTTATCATCTATCAAATACATTTCTATGAAATTACTTTTAAACATTGTGAATCATTCACAATTTCCTACGTTGCAATTGAAATTGCGTGGTTTATCAAATGTGCCATCAATAAATAAACCCAGATTAAATTAATAACCAATCATGAAAATGATTAAACTACCAAAGAAAATAACTTACAATCATAAGATATTCATTATCAGTTAAAAGAAAATTAAAATGTATTCATGCTACTATATTAACAGAGTTTTGTAATTGTTGATTGTTTCTGACAATATGAGCGCGATGCAGTTAAGAAAATACAACTTCGAGTATAGTAATTATTACTGAACTCCCTACTAAAGTTTAGCAGTCAAGGTTATTGTAACAACTGCTTCACCCGTTGTCAGTATAATGTGACTGGGCGGATTGCTGTGCTTGGTGCTTTCGACAGGATATTGAAGTGTGATAACACTTTAAGTCGGCATAAAATCTGCATTATCACAATGAGGCAAGTACACCAACATACCCTGCCTCCAGTACATAAACACACAAGCACACATACATTGCATACATGTAGGCACTTAAAGATAATAACTGTGAATGGGACCTTTAACAAAATAAAACCAAACCAAACTAAACCGCTGAGAGGACTCAAAAGTCGCTGATCTGTTCAGAATGAATTATCTTGCAACGTAAATCTGATTTCATCCAAGGAAAATTAGTCTCATAAATTGAAACCTCGATCCAATTTAACTAAATTACAAAAATAGATGAATTCGTCATTCCGTCATGACTTTTATTACTCGCCAGAACGTAATAACATTGATTAAATAGCATACGTTTGTCAATGACCTAATAAACCAGGCCAACCAATCAAATAAACTCCGTAAATGAAATATGCCAACATATACATGTATATATATCAGGTATCCACGTACTTATATAGGAATACATATATTACACAAGAAATGAAAACAAATACCTGTTAAAAACAATTACTGATTAATTAGAAAGACAAATATATCCTCATTTAGTATCCGCTACGGACAAATACAGAAAC